TGGAACATGTGAGAATCACATGGAAAAGTCTCGCGGACATCGTTGATCTATTATCTTCTGTGCAAACAGATGAGCATAGATTAGCGGTGTGTCTGGCGGACTCAATTGATGCTTTTCAGGTACCCAGGATGCTGCGGACTCTAGTGTCTGCCACCGGGGATCCAGTTTGACAGTAATGTTACGCTGCTGATCCCACCGATTCACATAGTTGAATCAGTCAAACACCGAATCGGTTGTAGGCGTAAGTCTCCCGGTTTCGGTAACATTGTTACACCACGCAAAGTCAGCGTGAATAGCAACAGTGCTTAGCTTAAGTGCTTTATTTTTTTATATTTTTTTTTAGCTTCCAACTTCTAGTCTGCGTCTTTCCCAGACTATTAGTTGATGACGAGCTGCGACAGCCTCGTTTGTATTTATGATAGGGAAACCTCCTCCATTTTTGTTGAGTCCACCTTGATCTACGTCGCTGTAAAAGCCCTCCGATTCGCGATCGCGGAGCTCTCCATCCATAATTTAGCCAGCCCCAAGCACGACCGAATTTGTCAAATAGCGTAGTTACACCCTTGACAGGAGTCAAGTGAGACACGTTTTAGAATCGTCCCAATCGCGTGACCACCCATCGAGTCTTTGCTGAATTCATGGAAATTAGTAGAGCCACCCCAAACATCAAGAGTCGTGCTGAGCATGCACAGTTAGCGGTAGTCTATGTAGGCTTGAATCAACGGACCCCGTCGTTGGAGATGTCCATCGGGACTATTTTTTGCGACATTTTGGTCTGCAGCTAGCTTCAACCCTAATATTAAGAGATTGTGATGGTGAATACTAGGTTCTAGAAGTTCAAACTTCTTTATTCCACTTATATTATTCCTATTTATTTTCTTAATTTTTCATTATCATACCTAGCTTAGTGTTCACCTGACCAAATAGTTTGTAAGGCTTTTTTGTCCTAGCCCTGGGCTTTCCAGGCTGGACCCAATAGTGAAGTGCAAAGTGAAGTGCAAAGTGAAGTGCAAAGTGAAGTGTAAAGTGAAGTGCAAGTGTGTATTATTTAGTGACTGTTATTTAGTGAACAATGGCCACTATGGCCACTATAGCCAGGTGGAACATGTGAGAATCACATGGAAAAGTCTCGCGGACATCGTTGATCTATTATCTTCTGTGCAAACAGATGAGCATAGATTAGCGGTGTGTCTGGCGGACTCAATTGATGCTTTTCAGGTACCCAGGATGCTGCGGACTCTAGTGTCTGCCACCGGGGATCCAGTTTGACAGTAATGTTACGCTGCTGATCCCACCGATTCACATAGTTGAATCAGTCAAACACCGAATCGGTTGTAGGCGTAAGTCTCCCGGTTTCGGTAACATTGTTACACCACGCAAAGTCAGCGTGAATAGCAACAGTGCTTAGCTTAAGTGCTTTATTTTTTTATATTTTTTTTTAGCTTCCAACTTCTAGTCTGCGTCTTTCCCAGACTATTAGTTGATGACGAGCTGCGACAGCCTCGTTTGTATTTATGATAGGGAAACCTCCTCCATTTTTGTTGAGTCCACCTTGATCTACGTCGCTGTAAAAGCCCTCCGATTCGCGATCGCGGAGCTCTCCATCCATAATTTAGCCAGCCCCAAGCACGACCGAATTTGTCAAATAGCGTAGTTACACCCTTGACAGGAGTCAAGTGAGACACGTTTTAGAATCGTCCCAATCGCGTGACCACCCATCGAGTCTTTGCTGAATTCATGGAAATTAGTAGAGCCACCCCAAACATCAAGAGTCGTGCTGAGCATGCACAGTTAGCGGTAGTCTATGTAGGCTTGAATCAACGGACCCCGTCGTTGGAGATGTCCATCGGGACTATTTTTTGCGACATTTTGGTCTGCAGCTAGCTTCAACCCTAATATTAAGAGATTGTGATGGTGAATACTAGGTTCTAGAAGTTCAAACTTCTTTATTCCACTTATATTATTCCTATTTATTTTCTTAATTTTTCATTATCATACCTAGCTTAGTGTTCACCTGACCAAATAGTTTGTAAGGCTTTTTTGTCCTAGCCCTGGGCTTTCCAGGCTGGACCCAATAGTGAAGTGCAAAGTGAAGTGCAAAGTGAAGTGCAAAGTGAAGTGTAAAGTGAAGTGCAAGTGTGTATTATTTAGTGACTGTTATTTAGTGAACAATGGCCACTATGGCCACTATAGCTAGGTGGAACATGTGAGAATCACATTGAAAAGTCTCGCGGACATCGTTGATCTATTATCTTCTGTGCAAACAGATGAGCATAGATTAGCGGTGTGTCTGGCGGACTCAATTGATGCTTTTCAGGTACCCAGGATGCTGCGGACTCTAGTGTCTGCCACCGGGGATCCAGTTTGACAGTAATGTTACGCTGCTGATCCCACCGATTCACATAGTTGAATCAGTCAAACACCGAATCGGTTGTAGGCGTAAGTCTCCCGGTTTCGGTAACATTGTTGCAGCATGCAACAGGGGCAAGGTTACTTCTTTGCCTCCATGAAACATGTGAGAATCACATGGAAAATTATCGCCGACATCGCTGATGGATTATCTTTTGTGCAAACTTCTATTTCCTATCTTCATGTTGACATTTCTTTTCTAATTTTTCTAAATTTTATTCATACTGTAAGTAATTATTTTTCATTAGAATGGTTTGGCTGCGCTCAATTACATAATTGTAATTGAGTACTTATTTACGCTTTTATATGATTTAAATTGCGGTTATTATTTCTTTTTTTATATGATTTATATTCTGTCTGGATTCTTTCTAATTCTATATAATTCGTGTGTTGATTAAATTTTATTTCTCATTTGCCATATTTGAAATTATTTAGAATATAATCATGACAAAAGGAACGCGACATTCTAGAATTACATCTCTGTGTATTTGGTTACATGATAGTGGAATTTCTCTAGCTACTCTCATCTTTTTGTTTCACTGTGTATTTTTCTTGATTTATCAATTTTATATTATTATTGAAAAAGTGTAGTTTTCAATTTTAGTTAGTGGTCTGATATAGTCTTCAAGAGATAAGGCGCGCGTGTATCGTAACAAATAACATGATGTTAGTAATTCTTTTCATTTATTTTTTTAATGTTTTTCTTTTGGCTGCTTTCAATGCCTACTAGCTACTGTTCTTTGTGATATATTGTTCTTATTCATAATTTCTCTGCTTTTGGTTCAGCAATTGATTAATCATGTGAATAATTTTACTATACCCCTTATGATAGTAAATCATATGTATATATAATTTTTCTTTGCGATGGTTTTATTGATATCACCTCTATGTGCACTCGGTTACATGATAATCGAATTTCTTTAGGTACTCTTATTTGTTTGTGCACTGTGTATTTTTCTTAATTTATCAAGTTTTTATTATTATTGAAAAGGTAGTTTTCAATTTTAGTTTGGGGTCTAATATAGTCTTTAAGATAAAACGCGTGTATCGTAGCAAATAACATGATATGGTAGCAAATAACATGATATTAGTAATTCAATTCAGTTATTATTATTATCTTGTAATGTTTTTCTTTTGGCTACTTTGAATGGCTACTAGCTACTATTCCCAATGACACATTCTTCTTCTTCATAATTACTCTGTTTTTGTTTCAGCAATTGAATTAATCATAACGATATTTGTGATGATTTTATTGACATTTATTTTACAAATGTTGACTGTGGTACTATTGATTTCGATTGATTTTTCGATTGATTTCGATACACCTAATTACTGTAATTGGGTATGTGTCATGGTTTTTTATTTATCTGTTTATGTATTATTACGTATATTACTGTCGATCTTTGATATTTACCCTTCACTGGTATGAATCATTATCATTCTCTTTTCTGCAACAATTGTTTCATTTGTTAATACTACTTTTATATTACAATATATCATACACTATATTAATAATATTAAATTACATATGAGTTAATTCAATATTATACACATATAGTTGTTATCCACATTATAAAAATAATATTCAATTCTTACACATTCCAATATTATTATTCAATATTAAATTCTCAACCATTAGTAATTGTCCTCAAATAAAAATGTGCCAAACTACATCAAGGGGCAATTAAATATTGTCAATCCAGGTGAACGGCAGCAGTTTTTATTTCTTTGTTTGAACAACAAGAAAGTAGCTTCGCAATTAAAAAGAACCCGGTCGATTATTTTCCAATAGCCGAGTGTCCACGCGTATTGCCAGTCCAAGCGGAATTGTAATCACGGATTTGTGTAACCGGCTGCCAATTGCAGCGAACGTAACCCTCCAGTCTGTCTTGAGTGACGTGCCGAGACCGAATTGATTTCAGTATACAGCGTTCTCGATACCGTCGCGAAAAACAAAGTTCCGCATTACGTTTGGAGGTTCCTGTCAAAGCACCATATCGTCTAATCTAAACATTTCTTCGCTAATTACTCGACAACTTTTGCTTTTATTATATACATATTAATTCGAGTTGAACAATCATCTGACGAATAGAATATTGTTTCCAGTTATTATTAACGATATGACACGTGGTAATTAATTCCTCTAATCATATAGCAATTATATTTTCTCATTTGGTATAATTTTTATGTGCTTGGACAAATTCGGGGACCATTGTCATGACGTTATAAATAACTGCAAATGTTGTTCAAGTTGAATATTTGTTCAACTGGAACTAAATTAACAAAGGAATGCATAATCTCCGCCACTTGCTCACAGTGAAACCCGTTATTGAAGATTCCTTGAATTTTTAATATCAGTTTTCCGTTAATGCAAATACGGAAGTATTCGATCTTCGTTCGCGACGTCTTAGCCCTACTTCATTCATGATGTCCTCTCGGCAAAATCTGGTCATTTTGCTTCGGTAATTATTTATTAATAGCTTCTACTGATCGTTGGAAGTGCACGAGGATGCACCGCGCGTCATCGGTTCCCTTGGAGGACAATTAACGACGCGTCTCGCTAATCAACGATAAAACCCTGGATATCTTACCTCGCTGAACACTGAATCCCGTCTCGATTTTCATTCTTGCAGCCACCAGGCTCCTCAGATCTTCTTCGCTGCCATGACCCCGGCTTTGTTGATCAATTTCCTCTCACGTTGCACATGATCCCACCTGTGCTCGCTCACCTGCACCGAAACTGCCCTTCGTTTCACTCCGAACCGACAAAGATCGCATCACGATCCCTCCTCATCTCCGGTCATTGACCACGGAAGAACTGCACTGTCAGTTCAAGGTCTCTATGGGCCTATGGGGGTTCTATAGAACCCCAAGGAGTACTCCTTCACTCCCGAGAAAATCACACAATACTTTTCTAAAAGTGTTACCCCAGGTTACGATTCACCAGCGCAACGGGGGTGTTTTTGTTCTATATTGGGCAAAGTAATGTCTGTTTGTTTATAAAGAAATTGTTGTCGCATCGGATCGTCGGAGTACACACACTTGTTTGATTCGTCGAACGCGACGCTTCTCGGACAAGTGTCGCGCGCAGACTGGAGCCTCTGCTTACTCGCGGCGCGTTTCCGAGCGGGTTCCCGCTCGCGCGTGCTGCGCAGGCCGCGTGAATCACGCGTCTTCTGCTCGGAATTAATCACGCAAACCCCTTGTGTACATCACGCTTCCCCTTTCACTCAATATCTGTCTCAATGCATCGGAATCGCCAGTCGTGACATCGTCGGTCGATGTTTTTGGATCAATTGAAATCTCTTGCATTTTTAGTAAGTGACTTTAAGAACATTTTATTTGATTCGGAATTTTTTGTTAATTGAGAAAACTGCTCTTTTTTATTTAATTTATTTAATTAGAATATTCAAAGAAGCAGATTAAGAAACGTCATTTTTATACTTTTGAAATTTGTAACACATTGAGAATTAATATTATTTAATTAGAGAACTAATTTTATGTCATTTAATCATAATTTTGAGGGAATCATTAAAATTTGTTTCATAATTGACTCAATAATAATGAATTTTATTTAATTGGAATTTTGAAATGTTCGATATTACATGTCATCTATTCTTGGTCGATTAATTAACTCGGTACCACTCATTAATATATGTCGGAAATACTAGAAGCAGCTTCAATACTAACGTCAATTCTAACTACATTTTCAAGATGCTCCGTCGATTGAGTAGTCAATGGTGTAATGATTATATAGCACATTGGTGAGGTTGATTTATCAGAAATGATAATTAATAACCTATGATCACTGTCTTTTTATGAACACCATCTTTTTTTTAATATTATCCAAAAATCGACAGGTGAGCATCAAATTCTGAAAATAAATATATTAAACATTAATTTTTACTTTGAGGGAATAATATCTATAATATTCTTACTAGTAGAATTCAAAAATTTAATTAGAATTGTTATTAGTATTTAAATTAATTATACTATTCTTGAGTAGCAAGAATAATTCTAAATTAAAAAATGAATGTAAGATAAGGATAAATAGTTGGTACGCATGTCACTAGAGTCATTCAGTGAAAAATAGTGAACTCTGAGAATTTCTGTGCTGGCTGGTGTAGTATAAGAATCTGATATACATTATGCTAATTATATATAATAGAATAAATTATAGGATACGATGCCATGGAATGGTATAGTACATAGGCTCACACACCATTTTCGTGTAGGATTTTCTGAATAGTTTATACGCCATGATGAGACAATGTCTCTTAGGGCTGTTCACTTTACAATCCTTATTCTAAATATAATGTCTCGACTGAAGAAGTCTGCTGCCTTGGCTGATCATATTAACCCAGTTCTTATCGATCCCCACCCTCTATGCTTCCGTTCATCTATTCAGTCTATTGTGCTCCCTGTTGCAGTAAGCACTGTCTACCTGAATGAAGAAAAATTCACTTTTTGCCGCTGACCCAGAATACTCTTTACCAACCTTCACTATTATGCAATATTGTTATCATATTCTATTTCAAATCCATTTATGATCTCACTACTGATATCGATATCGTTGTTATTTTTCCAAATTCGCTCTGAATTATTTATATTTATTAATTGCACAAGTAATTTCATTCAGTCAGAAATATACGTAATGATACATTGATTAGGACTCTATGGCTGCTTCATGCGCCGAATTGTTATGCCCATGACACATTAGGGAGGTTATAGTGGCTGCTTCAAGCGCCATAATTGATATTTATGCCCAATGACACAATATGTTGGAATTCTTAGTGGCTGCTTCAAGCGCCCTAATCAATATTATGCCCATTGAAACAATAAGTAGGGAATTGTTTTACGCCAATGACACATTAGGTAGGGAATTGTTTTATGCCAATGACACATTAGGTAGGGAATTGTTTTATGCCAATGACACATTAGGTAGGGAATAATTAATGGCAGCTTCAGGCGCCTCATTATTATTTTTCTGTCTCTATTAATTATTTTCATTTCTTATGATGGCTGCTTCAGGCGCCATAATTGATATTTATGCCCAATAACACAATATGTAGGAATTCTTAGTGGCTGCTTCAAGCGCCCTAATCAGTATCATGCCCATTGAAACAATAAGTAGGGAATTGTTTTATGCCAATGACACATTAGGTAGGGAATTGTTTTATGCCAATGACACGTTAGGTAGGGAATTGTTTTATGTCAATAACACATTAAGTAGGCAATAATTAATGGCAGCTTCAGGCGCCTGATTATTATTTTTCTTTCTCTATTAATTATTTTCATTTCTTATGATGGCTGTTTCAGGCGCCTCATAATTATTTTTTTCTTTTTTTTAATTATTCTTTGTTTCCCCTTTTTTTACATTGACGCATTGAATACTGAGTTTCATTTATGTTATAATTATCGACAATTTCCATTTTTAATTGCTTTCCAGTATTTAATATCGAAATTCATTTTTTTTCAAATATGAAATTAAGTTAAATTAAGTCTTCTTCAAATATTGTTATTAACTTTTTACTTCAAAAATGGATATTACTTTTTTTCTGCAAATATTGATATTAAATTTTCTTTTGCAATTATCGAAATTAGATATTTTTTTCTAACTTTAGAATTATATTATTATTTATCAAATTTCTCATACCGGTATTCATTGCGCCCAATTTCTATTACCAGAACACTTTCTGCGACATAACGCCGGGCCGAGTAAGCGATTAGAATGTTTCAGATAGCCGATTGTGTTCGATGCCTACACTCCGTCCTGGTATTGTCTGGTGGGTCGCGTTGAGAGTTCTTCACCTGCCCTTTGATCATGCTCGGATTCCCCGGATCTTCGCAGGAACTTCGAGGTAAAGTTTCCCGCTGCATGGAACCGTCATTGAGAAGTTTAATAATGGAAACTTCAGAACGATTGCACACCTCGGTGTGTAAGCTGCGAGAATTGTTCATCAACTTAAAGACAATGCGATATTTTTTTCATCGTTGCTGCTGATTTCACGGCAAAAATTAATCTCTGTAAATGACGCATTTCGTGGAAAATTTAATTTCGTACATTGCTATAATCTTTTGATTGAATTTCATTGCAAAGGGCATAAATTATAATAAAATTCATTTTTTACGGTCATTAAGAATGCGGGAATATTCAAAAATTATTTCAGTGAGATATTATTTGTTGTTTCACGGATTATAGAAGCCTTTTACATTTTTCCACAAGTAAGAGAATTTTGGAATTAATTTTTTTCTGGATAAAGGAATTTTTTTATGAATTACATCATATTTTTTAAATGTGTGATTAAATGTGTGATATCATAGTTAGTAATACTGTTACGACTACACAGTAAAAATCGAATATTTCGCCGCGCTATGTTGAATAGAAATTCGAGCGTTATTGTCTCCGCAGCATCGAATCGCCGAAAAATCGAAAACAATCAAAACTAATCAAAGTTCGATTGAACGCGTGCCGGCAGCAGTTCTCTACTGAGTAATAGATTTCCCGCTGACTCCCGTGGCGATCATTGATTTTCCATTTTTTACTTTCAGTCGAGCGGGACATTGTCTCCAGAGCGGTACCGTTCGAAATTAAGAATAATGCGACGATTCTGTACTCCTCGAATGAATTTACAAGCACGTCGTGGATAATTGAGATATTACGTTGCTAATTGGAATGAGAATGAAAGAGAAACGCTTTATATACGAAAGTCCGATGCCTCCTTCTACGCATGTGCAGTCTGCAGGCTCGTACTTAACGCTCTGAAACCCTGGAATAATATTCCTAAAACTCTCTAGAATATTTTTGAAAATATAAAAAATTAAAATTCTAAACAAATTGATTGATATACATTTTTATCTGATTTCTCTTCTCTCGATTTGATGTAGTCAAGTTACTTCATATGTCTAAATATAAATACAGTATTCATTGATCTAATTAATAAATGAAAGTCTCGAAATTCTCAAAATCTTCAATTTAGTGTTATAAATAAATTTTCCTAGACCATTAGGTTCAAGTAATTGATAAAATTATTTTAAAATGTAAGGGGATGAAGTTTACTATAAAATTAAATATGTAATATGACACTGCAATCTTATTTTTTATTTTAATCTGACTATAATTCAGTGTTTCATTATTTTTTTTTGTGTTTCTGTGCATGAAAAATAATATTTTCCTTTTGGTTACATCTGCTTTTGTTTGCAGGACGAAAGACGGAAACTTGGAGTTTTTGGATCGAAGATTGCTCGGTCGGTGTTCGTAGAATTCGTGGATACCGCTGTAAACTGAACCGCCCACGCAACACGGCCCTGAGTCGGAGTCGGGTATCCCGCATCGAAGGCAGTGCTCGTCTCACGATGGAACGTTGTCGCAGTTTTTACGGGATTTTCGCCGTCTTCGACAACGACGAAGAGATACCCCACCCGTGGACCGAGTGAATCTTCAGGGTGCAAAGGTGTCCGACTGTGGTGGACATCGACGTCAGAGCCAGAGTATCTTCTTGTGACAGTGGGCGGTGTCAGGTTAGGTTTTCGACGGTAAGACGTAGTAGGGTTCATTGACAGACCCCGATAAACGTTTTTATTTGCCCCCTTTGTTGACCCCTATCGATCCGCCTCGAGGGCTGAATGTTAATTCTATTTTTAATGGACATTTCTGTACACAAAACCGCCCTGGGTTCTATACGGCAATCACATCCTGTTGGCCCAGGAATAATAATGGGCGATGTACGCTTCCATTTGTTTGTTTGTTTTCGTGGATCGTGTGTTGTTACTTCTTCGGTATCTCTCAATTTTGTTGCTCGCTTGTACCCAAAAAAGTGGCCGAATAATTGACGGTTCGTCGCCTATTATGAATTCCCTAATATCTTAATTTATTTTATTTTATTGTGAATATAAATATAAAATTGTAAATATTGCCCCATGAATTGTAAGGATGATTACTCGAAGTTGAAACATATATTTATAAAGTGGTCTATTTAATTTAAACATAATTATTAAACTTTGTTCTGTCGAATTGCAAACATAAAATTCTGGTAGGATAATTACTCAAGACGGACAATAAATTTCTCTCAATTTTTCAATTAATCCAATTCATCATAGAGTAAACAATTTAATTTTGTTTGAAGTGAATATCAAATATAAAATAGTGAAAATTGCGCCACCAACTGCAAGGATAAATTGTCCTCCCGCACCAAATTTCTCTAAATTCATTAACATAATCAGCGAAGTTCTATAAAATAGAAAAATTAGTTTTCATACTCGTGGAATTATGCATTGTCAAGGGATTCAAACAGGGCGGAGTTGTAATTAAGTTGTTCAGGATGGTTGGTTTGCCCGACGGGGGTGGATGCAGGAAGTTTACGAGTGGTGTCCGGGCGGTGCGTGGGTGGGTGTTTACGCCGCGCAAAGAATGAATATATTACGAGTATTTATGGTTGACATTATGCCCCCCTAAATGTGAAGATTAGATCGCGTTCTCTCTTCTATTCAGTTGCCCTTAAAATGTTATCTCTTAACTTCATCGGTTTAGTCGCAACATTATCCAACAACAAGTTACGTGGCATTTGTTTAGAATAATTGTTCGAGGGTGATGGATCTCTGGACTTTATGAATAAAGGGGGCTCCGATTTATTAATAATCCAAGCCCATTGACTATATAAAAAATAAACCGTCGCCGGTATAAATAAAATGAGTTCTATTGATTTCAGAATGTTGCATTTTTAACGGACGCTTGATTGATATTTTATGTCTCTGTAGTTCGGTGCATTCGTATTACTCAATTGAATTGAATTAAGGTTTTAGTATATGTAAATAATAACACAAGCTGCATATATACAGTCAAAAAGACAAATATTTAGCAAGTATACGATGGAAATACCTAGAAATAGAATAAGATAAAATACAAGAGAACTAGAATGATCATTGACAGTGTTAATTATCTCATTAATTCAATGAGGGGAAACGTGGGTATTTCGTATGAATTCAGCGTAAATATATTGGCGCTGTTTAAAGTTCTGTGTTATTAATGTCTAGCGAATATTTTCGTGGGTGCGTAGTCACGTTATTGATTCAGAATTTTCGAGTTAATTGTATTCCCGTGCATTCGTGTCACCCAGCCAGAAATAACTCATTTGTGGAAATGCAGATTTCTAATTAATTTAGTTTAAATATTGTCGAGATCTTTCCGGTGCGGTATTATTAATTTTAGTGGACAGCTTTGAGGATACACGTTGACATTATTGTTTGGAAATTTTTGAGCTAATTTGGTCGTGTCGATCTTTTTAGATAATGATCCTTTTAGCTTGTTAGTAAACCTATAGCGTTGAAAAACCGTTGGGGAAGTTTCTTAGGCAGTTTCGAAGTTTCGTAAATTCTGACAGAACCGGCCAAAGTTCCGCTGGATATTGTTGCAAAGTTTCTCCCAGCCCCTTGCGACCCCCATTGGATCTGGACAGGGATGCCTCGAGTTTATGATCCCTGGAGTTCACTCGATGCTCGGCGTCTCGTTTCCCAGTTCCGTGAACTAACATTTCTTAACGCATTTGTCGGAAAATCTTGACACGAACCTGTCGTGTTCCGAAAATTTTATTCAAGTGCAATCACTATGGCTGAATTCTCGAAAAGTCATTCTACATTCTTAATTAAAAAAAATTTAGAATTATCCTCTAGAAATTCTTTTCAATTTTAAAAGAGATTTGGTCGTTGTGAGCTATGAGGATTTATTTGATGGTGATTCTATGATAACCGGAGCTTTATGGCGGTTCCCAGGACAATGAAGAATCCGAATAATGGGTTAAACTGCGGAAGAAAGCTCAATCTGCTGTACTTTACGTTGCACTTTGTCCTATTGTTTTCCGAGTGTCGAGTTACGCCCTGTCTCGGGCCACTTGCGCTCGGCAAAGTAGCCAGTAATTAGATTCTTTTGTTCCGCACTTAAAAACCGTGGCTTCATCTCTCCCCGTTTCTCTCGCTGTTTTAAGCATTCAGCTCCGCGGCCTGCGACCTTATCTCGCGGCAAGAAACTGTGGCAAGCTGTTTTCTCAAACAGTTCTCCTGCGAAACGGTGTCGTCTTTTGATCGTTACTCGAAGTAGTACAGGATATCATTTATTAAAAATTTTAAATTGCCTGCCCGAGTAGCAACCCCTGCAAGTTTAGGACTGTCCTTGATTTGACATTGTACCTTTGCAACGAAATTAGAATGCCATTTTTAGTAACGTTGGTTTATTTTTTAATCGTCACAGCAATTAGAAGATATATAATTATTTAGTATGTGGACTATTAAATGGTGTTGCAGCCATTGTATGCGAATATGGAGGCTTGCTAGCCTATATTAATGAATTGTCGAATTTCGGAGCGAACAATTAATTCAGAGGAACTCATTAGAATTCGCTTGCTCTCGGTCGGAAAGGTTCATTCCAGATCAAAGATTCGTTAAATGGCTCTTCAGTGGAATATAAGGGCTCGCTGAAAACCCACTTTATAGTCGGACCGTGTAAAGCAGCGGGTGATTTAAATGCCGGCGTAAAAAGAATTCGTTTAATTCTGTCACGTTCTCCGATGATCCCTCCGGCCTGCATACAATGTAATATGTAATGTATACTATTATCTCTGTGCGCTGGGAATATGTATAATAGCTGAAAGTTAATCGATCAGCCCGGCAACAGAGTGAGAGAGACAGGGAGGAAGAGTGAGACTGTCGAGAAAAGCTCTTTGTGAAACACATGCTGAAAAATTGAGGACAGCCGGAGAGAGCGAAGAACACAGGTTTTTTATCGATTCGAAGACAAACGAATTGTCGGAGCTATCGTCCCGGAGATGGAACGAAATTAATCTCACGGATGTAGGAGTATCTTCTACCACGAGATATATATAAATGAGACCGTGGGAATTTTTGACGCAACCATTTTTTTCTAGTGTATCTTTAATGTTTTTTATGTATATCCTTAATTATTTCTGTTGATCCTGGTATTTTTAGGAGGCTTCAGAACGGTCTTGGTACCTTCCACAATTTTTTGGAAGGCTCTATGATTTTTATTCTCCTCGAATTTTTTAGACGTCCCCTCAAGTGTCCTAAAGGGTTCCATAATTTTTTCAAGTATCCTCAAATTTTTCCTGTGGCTTTAGAATTTTGTGCAGTGCTTCACAATTTTTTTGCCACTCCTACACGAGTGCTATACAAAGGTATAACAAGTATTTATACTACAGAACTGAATTGAAATCTTATCAAGAAATTTCTCTTAAGTAATCTTATTCCTAGATAAGTTTCCACTTCTTGTCACACAAGTTTGACTCGTTATCAGTGACTCAGATGTCTGTTCACTGTCAGTGATACCTTGTCCTTGGTACTCGCTGGTCTGTTTGTCTTCAATTCTTCTCACGACTTATTAAAGTTGGATTTTAGGGTGAAACGATTGAAACGGTATTTTAATTTGTGGTGGAAAGAGGACAAAAGCGAACAAGCCTGTTTGGTGGTATCCTTGTGTGGGCGGTTTTCTGTAAACTCTCAGGAAATTTTCCTGTACTGCACCGATAAGAGTTTATCTAATCTAGGAGTTAGTTTGAGAGGGTGAGAACAAAAATGGGATCCATGGCTGAACGTGTGCATGCAAAGCGCTCGTTAATCGTCGCCTACAAGGTCGGAAAAAACGGAGCAGAATGGAAAAACAAATCCGGCTGCCTTGGCGAAGTTGTTTCGCGTTGCATCGTGCCAGCAAAAAGGCTTGCCGGGTTCTTTAGCTAGTTAAAGTAATGAGTCGTATCGCGTTATGAATTAACACTTCGAATTATTGTGTCAGTTTCTGCCGGCGAGCTTTTGAATTAATATCTGCGATCAAATATTGTTTGAACGAAGTTATAGCTGTGCTTTGAATGGACGAAGGAAATTAATAATATCCTAGCTGCATTTTCATTAGCGGAATTGTTTCACCTTGTTATAGCAAACTTCTGCTTGGTGATTAGCATTGCTGACCTAGATTAAAATTGAATAAAATTAAAATATTGGCGCGCGAGAGGGATTAAAATTTATTAAAATAATAATTTTCGAGATAATGATGCAGCTGGAAATTCGATTTAACATTCATTGCATTTTGAGATGGGTATTTGATTTAGTTTTTTTTTATATTGGCAATCTCTTATAAATTTTACTGTCGACGAAATTATTCCTACTGAAGAAAGATCGGAGGAATCACTTTTTAATTACGCTTAGTCTGTTGGTCTAAAGATGGTTAATGAGTTCACTTAAGCTGCGTAGCAATTGCCAATGATAAATCTTTCTTTGCAGTTCACCGTTTCAAGTATAATTAAATTACCATTGTAATGGATAGTCTGTTCACTTGCATGGAGCTTAGAGAGAATAGCGATAAAGAAGATTTTCTGTAAAGTTACTTTTCTTGATCCTTGAATCTTCCTAGCAGAATAATAGGAACATTTTTATTTCATTGATAATGATCTGTTGCACCTCCTTATTTATTATCCATGCTAATGGTCATATTAATTAGCTTACTCCATCACTGAAACTGATTGACGCAAATTTCAATTAATTAATATTTAATTATGTTTAATAAAATAAATCTCTAATGTTCTTCCCGCTTAATTTGTTTACAGAATTTTGTCTTCTCAAGCAAAACACAATTCACTCTTATCCAGGTGTTTAATAATCCTCTGAAAAAGCATTTCAATCAATTGCACTGCTCATCCAATCGATTCATACCTAAATAATTAAATTAAATGTTGATAATACATCTGGGACTGGTTACCAATTAATTAATTCATTACATCGTAATCAACCAATTTTTTACTCTACCGTCAAAAATATAATAATTTTACTGAACGTGCCATTATATGTTAATCGATTGCTAATTGCTATATATTTTCAATGACAGAAGAAGCTGAGAAGAAGCAGAAAAGAATGGCAAGTCTAAGTGGTTGCGTCTCGACAATGGTGGACGACGAGGAACAGGAAGAGCTTCGCTGCACAGGAAGCGACGTCGAGATCGAGGAATACACGGACACCGAGGAGTCGCCATATGTTGCTTATCAGGCCACTGATAAGCTGTTTGATACGGACCGAGCTGGATGGCAAAAATTCAGCTTCATCGTCACCCTCTTCGCTGTCGTCATGTCCATCACCTTTCTGATTATCACCTATCCCCTTTATCTGGAGAGCGTCAGCACTGTTTCCAGCGCCTACACAGGTTCCTGGCTTTGAACATTCTGGATCATGTTAATTGTACTGCTTCAATACCACCGTTAATTATTCTCCACAATTTCGCATCTGCTTCAACCGCATCACCATTTATCTCCACTCAGATTTATGGATTATCTAATCTGACGTATTAGTAATTATCTTTGGAAACATGTCAACAAAGAAGAGTTTTACTATTGTTCCTATTGATAGTACAATATATTAGGAGCACACTGGAAGATTGAGCGAGTACAATTAATTGTTAAATGTGTAGAACTGTCTAGACTGACTGCTAACAATTGATGCGATTTCAGGGTTGCTTTTTACCGCCCTGAGTTCCACCTGCATTCTCGGCATAGTGTGGTTTGTTGTTGGAAGAATTTCACCACCACCACCATTGATTCCCAACAGCATGAGGATCAAGATACCACGCTGTGCTCTACTCAAAATAAGCTTCGTCTACGCCCTTTCCGGGATTTTGATCACACTCTGCTTAGACCAAAGCAGGGTGGTCTGTCATCTCCAGGATCCAATCAAGGGAATCACTCTGGTCTTTTCCCTCGTCTATTACTTCTTCTTCTGCCGAAAAAGTACACATCCTGTTCATTACCATACGTTTCTATTTGTCTTTGCATAAAAGTTTGTTTGCATTTTCTTACGGATGCCAAGTTTAGGAAAGAGTTGTTAGAAAAATCCCATACTGAATTGGCCATTAGTGTCGCTTCAAAAAATGTCTAAAAGTCGTTTTTCGACCGCTGCTGCCGGGAGAGTTGCATTAATGCGCTTCTAATGATTCACTTTCGAGATCCAGGACAAGTGGGTGTAATAGGGAACACTTGTTTCAGTGATGAGCTTGCAACGGATCTTCTCGAGCACCACAATAATTGTCGGCCTGTTCATAAGCGTCGACTACGGACTCTGCGATGAATTTCGATGCCGTGGCAGGGAGGTTTCCGCCCACACAGCCGGCGTGAGAGGATCTTGGGGCGTCAGGGCTATTTGGACTTTCGTCTACGTGGGTTCACTGGCTGCCTTCGCCATGTTTTTCACTTTGCTGGAAGGCCACTACACTACCGAAGTATGCAATCAGAATTGTTATACGTATCTACTAAAACAATATATTTAATATTTAACATTAAGTATTTATTGGACGCTGGTGCTATAAATATTTTTCTTTCAGCAACAGAACATGTGCCAGATAGTTGCCAGTCAGCAGAACTCATTCCTTTATACAGTGTCTCGTCTGGTGTCATCCAGGGATATCAGACGTCGTGGATCCGAAGAGGAGGGTGGCAGATTGTTACATGTGACAGACCCTGACCCCACTGTCAAGCCAAAACACATTCCAAAGCCTCCCATTTTGGAGACCCTTTTCTACATCCATTCTATCGCATTCTTCGTCATCTTGTCTTTGTGCTGGTTGGACACGCTGCCCGGGATAGGCAGGGTTAGTCTATGCCCTCTCCTCTGGTCTCCTTTCATTTGTGCTGAAAAATCAAGTGGAGCATTAATATTCAAGAGAACTGTAATTATTACAGGGTCTATCACCGGTGGATCTCTATCGCACCTTGGCCCACGGTCTCACCTGCCACTTCAAGAACTCAGAGTCCTGTTCCAGCATCGCAGCTCATGGTTGGACCTTCCTGATCGCTTACACTGTCTTCAGCATCTCCGCTCTCAACTTCCTATCGATGAACGAGAGCGCAGTCTTCACAGTTGCCACGGCTACAGTGTCTCTTCCATTGTCTGGCATCTGGTGGAGCATTTATAAAATGGAGATTGGTACTCACGGTGGTAAGGCAGTTAGATCAACTCAGAAGAGCAATTGAAAGAGCATTTATCTCACAAATTTTGTCAAAAATTAAATGAAATATTTTTACAGGATTCATTGTATGGTCACCTGGAGTTACCGGAGAACTCATCTGTGCGCTTTTGGGTCTGCCAGTGGTTCTGTTAGGTCTCGGACTTCTGGTCAGGTCGCACTTCAGGGACACTCAACCTTGCTACCTGACGATGCAGCCACCGGACGTCCAGTACGAGCCATCCCAAAGATGAATGTCTTCGACGCAACCGTCTTCTTGAGGTCCCAGGATCATCGGCGTGGGAAATCATCCGATCCAGAGCGATCGGACGCGGCTGGGTTAATTCAGGAGCTTCGAGTCCTTCAAATTTTTTGTGTCGTTTTGGTGTCGATATTCATAAAAGTCTAAAAGCTGCTAATAAAGACAGAATGACCGAAGCTCCCGGATTAAACCGGTGGAAATCGTTGTGGGGACGCGTTTCAGAGGCGATCGGAATCGACCGGGAGCTGACCTAATTAATTCTGAACGCGGCCACTACTGGCGCAGACACGTACGAAAAAACGCGAGAGGTACAGCCTCTGCTCGATTGAATCGATTGCGCTAGTTTTCCGGTTGAGTCTCTCCCGCTCGACGAAGTTTCGTCTCTGAACCAACAAAAAAAACTTTCCTGTAAAGTTGTGATAGGGGTTAGGTCGGCGTACGTGTGTGGCATTAATGGTGGGGGGACGATAATATTGATTATCTTCTTGCGCACAGACACGCACACGTACATAGCCGAGCCGAAATGGGGTGGAGAAGGATGGAGGAACGCGATCGATGTTTCCTATGTATTTGCCGACGCGCAAACATCATCCGTCTAGCCGGATCGTTATTGCCAATTTATATTTTATTTTGATAACGAGATATATTTCATATTTTCGAGACCGTTCGGGATTATCACAGTTGTTGTACACTTAAACAGAATAGGGAATTCGTGAATGCGAGTGCGTGTGAGGGAGAGAAACAATAATTACAGAAATGCAGAGAATATTTTGTACCCGCTGCCAGGATACTGCAGAGACCTATCTCTGGACTTGTTTCAAGTCAGATTTAACGCGACACGTTCGCATGATGCAAAGCCATAACAGTCCTCGCTCATAGAGTCTGTAGTTTTCTTCTTCGAAGAAGGCGTGTGTACTCTTTTCCAAGATTTCTTTTAGCGCTTATTGATACCGGTTGTACTGCTAGGAAGCATTTATTATCTATAGCGTAACTTCATGCATTTTCATAGCTTGTATAAGTTAGAAATGTTTCTGAGACGCCTACGCCACTGTTGGCAGCACTATCCAGTTGTTCTTTTTTTTGCGCTGCATTGTAATATCAGCTGTTTAAGCGGTGTAGGTCCTCATGCTTACTCTTTTTTAATTTTTTTTTCTTCATCTCCGAATGACTGGATCATCATCATCATCACTCCATCATCGACGCTGGATTATTGAATGTGCTTTTCTGCTTTAATTGTTGCTTTATGTCAGGGGCCCCTGCTGCTTTTAATTTTCTCAATATTTTTGTTGGAATGTGGGGCCATCTTGGCATACTTGCCTCAGAGACAATCTTCCCTTTTGATGTATTAATATTTACTTGATAGCTTCTAGATACCAATCAGTATCTAAGCCACACACGTCTTAGTCACTTTGTTATGACTATCGGTTAGTCACTTTGTTTAGTATATCAGAGAGCTGTTAAGACTTTCCTCATTCCTAGCTCCGCGATTATGGATCCAATGTAGATAATTTCTCATGATACATTTTTGTATAGTTTCTCAACTTCTCAGATATCTGCTCCTCCTTCTCCCCGGACTGACCAAGTCAGTCTTGTAGTACCAGAATGGGTGAAATTCTACTTTGTATAGAAAGACAATATTTTATCTAATACATGTGCGTACATGAAGTATTTTATTTAACACGTGTGCTTTCGTAATGTATTTTATTTAACACGAGTGCTTGCATAAAATATTTGATTTAACACAAGTATCTAAATAAAATAATCCACAACTTTCAACAATATTAATAGAGCAAACCGTAGCATAAGAATTGTTCCACTGTATTCATTTTCAGTAGTAGTAAATACATATATTTAAAATACCACATTGTTAAAAACCGTAAATGGTATTTTAAATATTTCTCCTTGCCAGAGTTTCACCCATTCCGGACGAAAATCAGCTGCTCGATGCTGACTGCGAAAAAAGAAATCAAAAGTTCAAAGAAATGACTCAGAGCAATGAACGAACGAAACGTAAACTCGTGCCAAACGATTCGGGTGCCGAAACTCGACCGTAGAATTAAGCGAAGTGTCAGCTCTCGTATGATTAATTATTAATATGAATGTTATTCGTGTACCTACGCGACGTAGAATTTGTTGTTAAGCCAAACGAAACGAGTATATTCCGCCGCCGGGATATCGTGTCAATCATGTTCTATTCGGAAAGCTATACGTCCACAATTTTTGTACGACAGTTGTAAACATTTCATTCGACTAACTAGAGGCTATGATAACGACGAAAAACAATAAGAACAATGTACCACCGCTGTTATTAAACAAACAAAAGAACGGTATAGTCTCCGTATATAATCGTATTTATTAAAGAAACAAATTATATATATAAATATATACACGTATATACTGTAAACTGTTTCAACTCGTAGACGAGAATTTTTTCAGAACGGAAAAATTCTGAGGTTTTATATATTTAAAAGGAAAACGGGGAACGAAGCGGGAAAGCCGGTTTTCGAAGCTCTGAGTTGCGCGCTCAACTAGCCGTAGCGATTAGGTTGTGGAAATGAATTAAATGCCCTTAATTAATTTCATGGAATTCTGATTAAATCGAGTTATTATCAAATTTAATAACGGGCATTCAGTTCATTTCTATGTGCCGTATTTATTTATTTAATCGGTACTTAAGCGCGTTACGTAATTAGTCAACCCTCTAAGGCCCGGTCGACATTGTTTCACAGAATGTTGTTCAATCGCGCTTGTTGTTATTGCCAGAAACTGGTCGCATGGAATCGTCACTCTGTACAGTGTAATTAAGGGATCATTGAACGCATTGGCGACTGTACCATGAAATGTCCAATGATTCTTTAAGAGCACTGCACCTACCGACCACCAGCAGGTTTAAACGCTGCTAATGGCAATTTATTTTTTTAGTGGTGGGCCCTGGCGGGTTGATTACGTCGTCCAGGCCGGCCGGCTCGATTTTTGTTGTATTTTGCATGCCGCCGACCGGCCGGTTATGGTCGAATATTTTTATAATGGGACCGTAGCGCGGTCTCACCGGTTATTCCGTAAGTTAGGGCGATTCGCGTACGCGGGTACTTTCAGATAGACGCTTTACAACACATGAATACTAATTACCAGCGATTCGCAGTGCCGTGCATTGTGTCGGGCGTTTTTCTGTAACACTAGAGCTCTGTTGCTAAGTTTAGGAACAGTGCAATTCTCATTTCGATTCCAGAAATAGTAAACATAGAATTGTATCTTGCAAATAATTGATTTAGCAATTATCGGGCTGCGGAATTTTATGCACTCTAGTAATTATACATATACATATTAGTAAATATTAATGCATTCGTGTGTTATTATCGTATTTGTTGTTTCTGAAAGTGAACTATCTAAATGTTTTTTGAATGCAGAGTCACTGCTGTGTATGAACGTGCATAAGGTCTCGCAGTCCGGCGACTGATTTCATTATTTATTTATTTATTTATTTTGAAATGAAGAGAATTTTCAGGTTGATATATGTGTGAGTGATTAATCCTAGCTCAATATGTAAGTCGTCCAAGAGTAATGAGTACCTCATTGTAGAGTGACAATGGAAGAAATGTGTAGAACGAGCGCATTGCCGTCGCCGGTATTTGGATTCGTTAATTACGCTCAATATACCTACTATATTCAACTATTATGTACCGTATTATAAATGTGTTAATACATACATATATATACTTATATAAAAAAAATTACGATGCATCTTAATTAGAGCCTATTCACATCCTCACCACGCCTTCGTGAAATAACAAGATCCATTAAGCCACTGATTCCAAGCCGCGCACTGAGTTAATTAAGCACCGACTCCCAGCTACTTTTTGTTAGAAGCAGATCTCAACATGTTAAGCAATCGTGGAGAGCACTCGCAAATTCCTCTCTCGAGGACGTGAAAAATATATGTGCTTCTCTCACTAGTCTAAAAAAAAAATGTTTCGATCTTGTTATTTGATGAAACTTCGTTTCGCAATAAATAATTGACTTTTCATTTATAGATGATACATTTACAGAACTGTTATAGGAATCGTTGGAATTGTTAATAAATAATAATCTTTATTGTAACTTAAAAAATTATACAGAGCCTTCATATTACGATTGAATATAATTGGAAATTAATTTACAAAGAATGCTCACGTCTCTGAAAAACCATATTATCATAAGAATAATGAAGATTTCAATACAATTACAACTAAATAAAATTAAGTTCAATTTTCAATAGAAGCTTTTAGAATTTTGATTAATACTATTAATTCTCAGAATACATTCTTGCATTCTATTTAAAGCTTCAATACTTGTAATCTAGCTGACTTATGCTCGTCGCCGATCCTATCTGACAATTTCTTGTCCCTAAAACTGACATCCTCATACCGAACTTCGTAGAAAACTTCAAAGTTTAGTTTATCAGCTATACGCTGACTGAAATTCGATGCGAACACGCCAAAGATTATTTTTGGGACCACTTCTTCGTTTACCATCTCATCATCAATCGGGCATCTCTTTGTGGTGCCATTTGCAAGTCCTTTAGCAAACTCGATGCACTGCTTCACCAACTCGCTCCCAATTCCTATGCCCTGATACTTTGGGTTTGTGCCAAGGTAGAACAATTCCATCGCTCCATCAATTGCGAGTTTCTCGAAAATGTCCTCATTGGTTTCAATCTATAAATTAAGCCAGTTTGCTAAGTAATACTGACCTGTTTAAAATGAGTTTGTCTCATGTGTCTCAGAGATATAAAAAATAAATGTTTGTGGACACATAAATCATTTATTTTTCAAAAACAATGCAATTAAAAAAAGATTGTATCTGTACATTTGTTGCGATAATGTGTGATTATTTTTATGGAAAACCCTCACAGACTGTCAATAAATCGTTTTGTTTGCTCGCCACTGTCAATCATATCTAAGTTGATACGAATTCACCCCACTGGTTCGTGAATCTTTTCATTACATGATCATTGATAGTTTTATCACCGATCCGATGTAATTCCCGTTGTGGAAGTAAATAATCAGAGAAATTAAGAATTCGTTTCGAATAAAATTGAGTTAAATGCAATTTCCAGGAACGGTGACCGAAGAGATGCGGGTTCATTTAATTAACGGGAAAATGGGAATTGGATTCAATTGAGGCGATTATGGCACTCACATCACCGAGAAACTTCACCAGCTCCTGGCACGATTTCTTCGTCAGGTTCTCCTCTATGAAGGTGTCCAGCTGGTCCTTCACGCCTTCCTGGGGCCTGGCCTTGAACCGCAGAGACATATTTTTCATGATAACTCGAAGAGAAAGTCGTTCTCCGGATTAGGAGTTAGGAGAGGCAAGACTTGCATGGATCTTGTTGAAAGCGACCGCGGCGAGTTCGTTGGTCTCTTTATCAACCACGATGATCGTGGCACCATCCTTTACGATCTCCTTGAAGAGCAGCTGCATCTCCTCAGGCGCACCTGGCTCCTCGAACATGCCCAGCCCTATAGCCAGACACTCCTGCTTCATGGTCTCCGCCTGAATCTGCAGAGCCTCTTCAATCCTGTCCTGTGTCAGTAGCTTATACTCGAACTGATCCTTGTTTCGAGCCATTACTGGTTACCAAATGTATGCTGCTCTGCTAGAATATCTATGAGAAATTTCTTCACGTTGTTTAACACTTCTGCTTTGATTAGCAGGTCGAGAAAAAATTTAATTACATCATCGATGACTTTTGGTTGCTTATCTACGAAGATCGCTACTGGGAAGAACTGAATACTGATAAGCTGGATACTAGAGACTGGGCCAGTCACCAAATTGGGCAAGTATTATAAAACTCTAGATTTATTGACATCAATTAATGACAAGCTGTTTTTGGTTTGCGTTTCAGGTTCTGGATGTAGGATGATATAATATAATTCTACGTGATTCTTAGAATTCGTTTAACTCACTCTATGTATCAATTCTGCTCCAGCGCAACCTTTTGTCATGGATTTACTTTGATTCTGTCGTGATTCAGGTATAATTGGAAGTCTCACAAATAGATAAACCAGTCTGCAACAGCTGTCTGCGTACAGTGACTCGCATTAATATTCGGACATCTTCAAAAAAGAATAACGTTTTTAATTGTGAACGAAATTACTTTTTTTAGATATTAAAGAGTTGTTAACTGAGCGATGTCTAGAATTTTTGTTTACAATTGCAATCGCTGTGAATTTGTCCACTTTCAAACATGTTATTCTGTTTTAGATGTTGTCCAAATATTAATAATTTTGTTTCATATGTCTTTTGTCATGAAGCTGTCTGTAATCCAAATACGTTTCACAACTTGCCTCGATTGTTCTCACATAGACCACGACTATCTATGCTAAATAAGAATTCCGAGGTATGGGATATATTTTCTCCGAATAATTTTTCACATTTGTTAAAAATTGCAACAGTGTTTTTAAATTCTGTAAACATTTCTACCGTTTTGCACGCAATCTATTTATAAAATTTTCATAGATGACTGACCAGTCAATTGAATTTTAGGCTGACTGCTCGCTGTGTGACGAAGACCTCAGCCGGAAACCACGTGGATCAGTCAGCAGGATCAGAGAACAAACGATCCGTTGGTGATCTATTTGCACGGCAGAATGGAACTAGACTTGAGTCGTTTTGTCAGCACGCACGCACACTATTTCTGTCGGCGTGGTTGCAGCCGCCGTCTCTGATAATAAGATATCCTCGAAGCATCCAGCGCATATTAGGAAGCCGGCGGCGTTACTTCTCGAAACGCGATTACACTGTCTCTCGTGTCTCTGGTCGCTCTTCTATTTAATTTTAGACCGCCCGCATAGGGTTCGAGCACATTGATATCGATCGACCGGTTCGAGGTAGGGAGCTATACAATTTGCTTAAAAATACTTTTATTAATAATCATTACAACGCGGCAAAATGGAGTACAATTTCAGACTCGTTCTATATTCACGTTACGATATCCGACAGGCTTCTTCAGATAAGACAAGGCCACGTATCGCTGATGACTGTGCGCTAAGAGGGAGACGACAACTTTAATTATATAACTATGAGACACGTTTAGACTGGCCTTGGTCGGCATGTACACAAAAGAAACTATTATAAATATGTTCTATAACCTAATTCGTCGATTCATTCTATAGTCTCTTGGCTACTAGAATGGAATCACGATGCTCATCCCCTATCCTGTCGCTGAAGGACATCCCGTCGAAGTGGAAGTCTTTATAACTGACCCTTGCCAAGATCTCGAAGCCGCACTTTCTCGCGATCTTCTGCGAGTAGTTTGAAGTCATGATGGCAGACACTAAATTTGGTACGGCTGCCTGGTTCCGTATTGTGTTGTTGTTGCCCTTTTCGAGGATATGAATTTTCACCGGGTTCCCCCTTTTCAGCTCCCTGGCAACCTCTATCGACGAGGACACCAAGGACTCGCCTATTCTTCGCTTCTGCATCTGGGGCAGCGTTGCAAGGAACATGCACTCGAAAATGCAGTCTGTGTTGTAGTGCTTGAACAAGTTTATCCTGGAGTCCACGTTGATCATGAAGTCCACCAAACACTTTGATGCCTTGTACTTGCAGTTCTCGCTGAACACCTCGAACGCTCCCTTCTCTGGAGGACTCTTCTGGATCTGGTGAAAAGATTTATGAAGTCTGTCAATCATCCCTTTGGGAATTGCCGGAAATTGTTTAGTATTACGTTCTCCTCGCCAAGTTTTTTGCGCTTTTGCTGTATTATTTTCTTTGATACCGCGCCAGCTCCTTACTGTAATATCTCGAAAACTAAGGCCAAGCGGCAGTTATATGTATAGGTTAAAGTTGTTCAAAATGTCAAATTCTACACATATTAAAAAAATCCTAGAAATAGGAAGTAGCTACCTTTATTTATTTGTATAAATTATACAAATTGATTGTATACATATAGACATTTATATATCGAAAACAAAATGAGCAACGTAGGAAAGGCACAAAAAAAAATTGGTGAGAAGGACGTTACTCTAAACAATTACCGAATTTCCTAAGTGCTTGTTGATAGGATCATTCTGTACCTGTATCTTGTTGAAGGCCACGCCGATGACCTCGCGAGACTTCACGTCGATGGCCACTACACTTACGCCGTCCTTGGCAGCGTCCAAACAGAGTTCTTCGAGTTCTTCGGCGGCACCAGGTTCCGACATCAATGCTACGCCTTTACAGACGTTCTCGTAGATGAAGAAGCTTTTCCTGATGACCTCCAGTGCCCCCTCCAAGGTTTCGTCTGTTAGAGACTCGAATTCAATAGCTCCGTCCTCTATGGAGCCCCACGGCCTGTAGGATGGCATTCTAGTTCGGGAACTGGATAAACAGTTAATTAGTATGTCTCCGTTTTCCAATTTCTGAGGACGTGTGATGTTCCAATTAGCGCCTGTTGTATCAATTCATAATAGTTAACTGGCAGACACTATAATTGAATCAAGTTTGCAGATGAAGTGTTTGAGATACTAGCCGAATTTGTGGTTCATTCACATCTCGATTAAAAATGTATTTTAATTATAACTAGGTATTCATGAAAATCAATTGCTCTTTTTTATGCTTGATACACAGAAAATATTTATATGAATGGATAATTGAAGAGTGTTTGCTGAAAATAATCTACGCACTAATCCATTGAAATATATCTGCAGAGAAACATTATAAATTCGCACTACTACTATATACAATACATATTCGCCGAGGTTTTCATGTCGGTGACCACTGACCGCATGAACACCTTCGATGTCTTCTGAGAGCTATTTATTTCGTCCTCGCTAATGGACAGAATAGCCTATTCGACAAGGACGGACAGACGCTAGCGGAAAAGTTGCCAGGCGTAAAAACGTCTCGCGGGAAAAATCGTTGTTCGCCGAGGTCGTCCATCAGGTATGTACGGATACCAGAGATATTAAGAAAGAGAGATTTCCGAACAATTCGATTTGTATTGCACTTGTCTTCCTGATGATGAATTGTAGACAATTTCGATCTACCCGTAGCAGGCAATTTTTTTGTGAATTCATTATTTCCCCTTATAATTTTTAGTATTTCACAGAATTATTGCCCCCAGCTGTTTGCCAAAAGTCGAGTCAAAGGCGAATATTCGTCGAGACCTTCATTTCCTCATCCTTTGTACGAGTCAAAACGCTTTTCTTATTTATTACCTGCTACGGACCAGCCTTGGTACACACGGATTCTCTCAATATCATGGCTCGACCCAACCATAAATACGAGACGGCTAACGTGAAAACGTACACCATTTGGAGTACTGTTTCTGATTTTAGTTATTTGTGACTATATTGTAGCTATGAACATATTTCGAAGGATTTTAAAAAATTTTCAAAATTTTTCACTCGATAGGCCTGTGAAATAAAGTGTGAAACAACTTTTATGAGAACATGATTTTGATAACTTTAATTTCCCGTGAAATATTTCACAGATTTCAGTTTAACGGATCACCCTGTATAATCTGAAACTATCAATTTGGTACAGACAGTTTATAAAATAATTCGAATATCTATTCATACTACTTCTAAAATTGTAATACTGGATAAAGTGAGCAAATTGTTTTGCGGATAACCATGTATGATAACCATGTACATTACGCAAACACGTTCCAATTGGACTCATTAACTCCAACGATTTGTCTGCACTTGAACTGACCAGTCACGGACGGTAAATGTCACGGAATGGATATGTCGAGTATTCTTATTTCGATCACAATACCATATTTCAATCGTGTTAGTTTATCGTGTTATGTTTGTTTATCGTGATACTATAAACGCGAGAATTGGTTCAGTCTTTACCCCATGATTGCTGCGAGATCCTCAGATGCTGACAGTTGCTTCTCTACTGACGTTTATCGAGAAGTCCGCTCTGAGTAAAGCTATATTATTCCAGTCAATTGGCCTAAGCGCGTGTGTGTGTGGCGCTCTATCGCCACGGTCACAGTACAATCTCTCGCGACGTAAACATAATACTATGCATGAAATGTTATGTATGGTAATCTCTGATTAGGGACTTTTATCTCTTCATAGTTCCTCGTCAGTTTGGTTGACCGTTTACCAAATCTTCTTATTAAAAATTCCGGAGAAGAAACTATAATTACTTTCTCGCTGCTAGTTGCGCGCTTAATTTGCATTTGTTAAGAGGCGAGTGGAAGTGCATTCTTTGGGATCGAATGAACCCATTGTTATGACTGACAGTCGGCTAGCGCGGCAGTACCTACGTAACGTAAATAAAAAAGGCGATATACGTGCGTCAAGTACGATTTCCTGAACCACGTGGTCTTCTGTAAGGCCATGGATACGCACTTTAGTGATTAGTTAAATACAGTTCCCTCGTAGGGAGTTGAAGGGGTCACCAGGTTTGCAGCGCAATACTCTAATCAAGTGATCCCTTCATTCAGTTAAATTCATTGACGAGTTCCACTTCTCGCACACTATTAATAGTCATAAACTCAAGGTACGGTTTCTCAAATTTAATTAAACTGTGATTTTTATTTTGGACGACTCTGTCTTCTTCTGTAATTAGAAACTAAATATTTATATTCACAGAAAAATGCTCAACAAGTTTTTATTTTCGTAAAGATCTTAAAGTTTCAGATGTCCGACTTCTTCAGTATCTATTTGATCTTGTATATTACAACATGATGTATTTGTACATACAATTTAGATAAGACGGGGGGGGGTGGCTTTATTGGTGCTACAATGTATTCTGCAATTACTCACGCAGAATGATGATAAGGCGCGATATTCTTCCATTTTCGGCAAATGATAGCACTGCAGCAACAATGAACGTTAAGCAAAGAACTGCACTCAAATAACCACAGTTATTAATTTTTGGTATATTAAATTATATACTTCTTCGTAATTATATTTCTCGCATATCTGTAATAGTAGAGTAATTTTGAAATTTCTATTTCAGCACTTTAATTCGGGGCAGAGTTCCTAGAAATAGATACCCTACTTTATCTGTGATAAATGTTGAGAGAACTGTCAGCAATATTTGCTGCACTCGTTGATAGCTTTCGCGTTCTGATAGCTGTCAAATGACCAAACCACTCGACTCTTATAATTACTCGAAAAATATTCTATCAACGTTATTCTCGAAAATAATGTCGGAAAATATTACTTACAATAATAATTCGTATTCGAATTCTCTCTTTTTCCAGTACTCGTCGCTTTGAAAGACGATTATGTTCTGAAGAACAATCCGGCGGTTTGCAATGCGAAACCGCTTATATTCGATTCTTCTTTGTCTTGCTGTGCCTGGTGGGAACAGCTTTTCAATTGTGCCGGTACTTCCATCAAATGGTTAATGCACAGGTACTTCCCACGAAGATTTTACCAGCAACTAATTGAACACTGTGTGCAATATTATTTGTAAGAAATGTTCCTATGATTATCACTTTGTCATTGGTGCAGATTGACAGACCAGTCTATGCAACGAGATAGCCATTGAAACTGTACTATTTGCAGTCTGTGACATAATGCACTAGACACATATGAGATATAGATAACCGCTGGCAGCTGATCAGAATCACTACACTTTGTTTATTATTTACCTGTGTCTGTGCAGCCAAAAGTGTTACTATTCATTACATTTGTAACTACAATTTTTTTTAATTTTTATAAATGCTATGCTATTTGGGACAGGATTAAGAATCTCAGTAAAAAATTTACAAATTTCCTGAAACAGCGAATCATTTTATTTGAAAATCTATACACTTAAAACCAGAACAGATATAATGTTATGAGGTGGAGTGTCCTGGAAAATAAGTCTCCCCGTTTCGTTCGTCTCCTTCAGCAGATCTACCTGCATGACACTCCAGAATCCCAGTTGCTTAGCAGCCTTACTCGAGAAGGTGGACGTGAAGATTCCAAAAATAAAGCCCACGTCCTCCAGATTTGTCGCGAAGGATATACCCTCTTTTATCAAAGTTTTCGCTAATCCTTTGCCACGGTGTTCCTTGTCCACCACTACTGCGTAGAACTCTACAGCAGCCTTAGCGTCCGGAAACTTCTGATACAAGTTGGCTTTATTAGCGATGCCCGACAGATAGTTGAAGTACCGTTCCATCAACTTCGTTTTAGGTGGATTGTTCACGAACACAGCTGTGACTCCATCGCCTGTGGTGTCGAACCTTGGATTTCTACTGACAATCATCTGGTTCACCGCGATAATTCTCTTCGTTAATTCATGCTTGACTATCAAACACGGAGAGGAAGTGAAGATCGCCTTGATGATCTTCTCGTGGTCTGTCCACATAGACTCTTCATTTTCGGTTGGATCATCGTTTCTCATGCTTGTCAGCACGACCTCCTCCTTGTCAAAATTTTCATGCAGAAATGATAGAACCTCCTGCAAATTAGATTCATTTGCCCATTCTACAATATATGAACTTCTCGAGTTCATGTCAAGGCGGCACGCTTTTCCTTTCACAGTAAAACAGTCTGTTACTTTATCGACTCTTATCCCTAACTCACAATTTTTTTTTATATTATGGTACAATATTCTTACATTCGTTATATGCCACGGATTGATCAATTGTACGCACTAGGATGCACTACAACATTTGTATGGACCCGATAGTTGTTACATCACTGTTACTAACGTGTAGATCTTGATATGCAGTATATTGCATTCCAGGTGCCTGATTTCGGAACACGCTTTTCCAAGTCCGCTGCAGAGCGCGCGTCAGCGCGTGCGTAGACCCGCCGCGACACCAAAATAAGATGGCCGGTCAGCGAAACAAATAGAGCGCCGTTGTAAATAACAAACCGTCCGAGCACGTTCCTTTTCGGAATCGTCGACGCGATTAGGGGCTGCCGGGCAGCCAGGGATTGCCTCGGTGCCGTTGGTTCTTGCGACCGGTCACTCGGACCCGGTGTTCGAAGCCGTGTTGACCCGTCGCGGTGTGTGTCTCTCTTACGGGCCCACGATTCGCCTTACCAGTGTTGAATGCGTGACGCTGGTGCACGGGCTTCAAGGTACGCAGCTCCAAGGAGCCTGCCGGGCCGAGGACCAACCGAAGTCAGGATGCAACAGCGAGAGCGGGACAGTCTCGCGCCACGTCCTCGCCCACGGCTCGCCTAGCTCCTCATGCTAGTCTCGTCTTCCGAATTGCTTGGAGCACAGCATGAAGGAGATGCTTGGAGGGTGCTGCGTGTGTTCTGACGAGAGGGGTTGGACTGAGAATCCGCTGGTCTACTGTGATGGCCAGGGCTGCACTGTTGCTGTACACCAAGGTACAGACAACTAAACACTCTGGCAACATTGAACTCTAAGGCCTGCGAAGCCCCTGTACAATTACTGTACATCTGATCTAAGTAGAATCTGTTGAGCCTTTAGCACAAGAGACCTCAAAGTCTGTTTTGTATATTGTCATCTCTGTACGATGATGTTACTGGTCCTCAAGGGATCTAAGTACTCATAGAGCAGACATAGTACTTGATCCCTTAGTGTCGAACTCTGGTGCCAGCTGTTTAATTATTTTTAGAGAGACTAATGAGCTAGTACTAATGTTATGATTATCTTGCAGCCTGTTATGGTATCGTTACGGTACCTACTGGGCCATGGTACTGCAGGAAGTGTGAATCACAAGAGAGAAGTGCGCGCGTGGTAAGTTGAACACGTGTTGCAGTCACCCCCCAGTACCTCTATATTTACACCATATCCATCAGAAACCTAGGTACAAGATTTTTAATGACTGTGCAGTATTTACATACCAAAAGGTCTCAAGAGTATATTTCTCATGGTCACTTACTAATTTAAAATTTATATTACTATGATTATAAGTCTTGATTAATAATACATCTTCTTCTGAAGAATATTCTCATCAATAATGGTAGTAAACTTGCATCAGCTCATTGTCATTGAAATTAACGAATGCAAATTGTATGTATATGTAGTACACAGTTCCTAAAAACAAGATGTCTAGCATTGATTTAAATTATGTAAATATTGTCTCTCATTTTCTACAGCGCTGCGAGTTGTGTCCGAGCCGCGATGGGGCTCTCAAGAGAACGGATCAGGCTGGTTGGGCACACGTGGTGTGCGCGTTGTACATACCGGAAGTACGGTTCGGTAACGTGACCACTATGGAGCCGATTATTCTGCAATTGATTCCATCCGAAAGGTTCAGCAAGGTAGGTTCAGTTTCTGTTGGTTTTATCAGGTGTGGGAGCGTCGCATTAACGTAGGTGTTTGTTTCAGTCATGTTACATCTGCGAAGAGCAAGGAAAAGGTAGCAGAGCGAATGTGGGAGCTTGTATGCAGTGCAACAAGACCGGCTGCAGGCAGCAGTTTCATGTCACATGTGCTCAGGCTCTTGGCTTGCTCTGCGAGGAGGCTGGCAACTACCTCGACAACGTTAAGTACTGCGGCTACTGTCAGCACCACTATTCTAAGCTGGTACATAGACGAATCATCTCGTAGGAACGTACACTATCGTCTTCTAATTTTTCTGATATCACGGTGTGATTGTATTTTCAGAAAAAGGGTGGTAACGTAAAGACGATACCACCTTACAAGCCAATACCAGCAGATAATGGCTCGTCAGACTCATCTCCTGAAAAGGAAGCCGAGACCCCGATAAAGTCTTCGTCAAGTGGTAAACGAAAGAGTTCAAGTTCCAAATCCACTACCAATTCTAAAAACAAATCCAATACTAGTCCAAGCCTAGAAATAAATGGCGTTGCTGATGACAAAACCAGCAGCGGCCGTAACACACCCAAAGAGACCACCACAAATTCCAGTAAATTCACCACTTCAAACTTCGTAGAGACAATCGTCACCCAATCGGAGAGCGTGTTCGGACATGACGGCACTGCCTCCACGACCGCCGCCCAGGCGATCAAGCCGGGATCGAACCCGAGCACCGGCCACAAAAACAGTGGACCGACCAAATCGAACTCGTCGACGTCCAACAAGGCGTCCAGCCACAGTAAAAAGAGAAAGACCGGGGCGCGCACGCCGACCGTGATAGGGAACGAGAACTCGAACCAATCGGTCAGCTCCGAGGCCAGCGGTTCTGTCGTGGTCGCTGTCAGCTCGATCGTGCAGCAGACTGTCTCCAGCAACAGCGTGCAGACTACCATAACCGAAGCCACCAGCCTGAGCACGACCACTGAGCCGGAAAAGTCCAAGAAGGTACAGTCAAGCTTTCCTTACGTTCAAAATTTTAATGTTAATCCTCAATTCTGATAGAAGTCCTCTATAGTAGAGCACCTATGATTCTGGCAGAGCTAGTTACTAATAGAGATCCTATAAGCCTCATAGGTACTATGATTTTAGTAGAGATCTTGTGATCCTAACAGAAGTCCCAATTTCTAATAAAGGTCCTATATAATGTTGATAGACTTCCTATGTTTCTAACACAGATCCTAGATCTTAACGGAGGTTGCAACATCTGATAGAGGTCGTAAACCCTCTCTCGTTTTCGCGATATTTTCAGTTAAAGGTGGAGAGTCCTATCCAGTTGACGTCTAGCACTCCAGTCAGCACGGAAGCTACCACCACGCCTGTGATTATGGCAGTGACACAGTCCCAATCCTCCATCGTTACTCATTCTCCGACGACTACTTCCAACAGCATCGTCGTCTCCGTACCACTGACTGCTACCTCGTTGCCCAACACTGTGCAAAGTGTGGTGACCAGTGCTCCTACTTTATACCAGCAGTTGCAACAAAGTATTATCACAACTGCGGCCGCCATGGAGCCCAGGACAAGTGCTATGCCGAACTCGGACCGATTCAGTACGGAGGAGGCTCCTGTTAAGAGATCTCGGTAAGTATTTTTATTCAAGTTCACTTTCATTGTGCTGGACATTCTTCTTTCCTACAATTTTATATTTGAATTGTATACTTTGGGGTGTACATTTTTACTGAACCGTGAAACGAAATTCTAGTTCAGTTTACGTTTGATATGTTTCAAGCGGGGAAAGGTTTTTATCGACATATATTTGAGAAGTAAAGTGGTGGTTCTATTTGCTATTCCAAATGCGCGCCAAAATGGAAGGCATCAAAATGGCTGTCCTATTGGATAAACAAGCCAGTCCTCTCCTAACCTCGTCGCGAGTATAGTAAAAATTCCTCAGGTACAAAATTTTTATGATTCTCGAATTGATAGTACCCGGGGGAATTGTAGTTTCACCATGCTTGGATGGTTCTCCCGGACGGTGTCGTAACTAGGTGGTGATAATTGGATGGTGTTTATAGCAACATTGTGCTGCGTGAAAAGGCGAAATGATGTGAGATTATATTTTTCGATCCTTCTTATTTTGCGCCACGTTTATTCAGAAAACGCTAGCAGCACGCGTGGCCGAGTGAAAAACTGGTGATTTCGTAATCACTGTGTGACTGATCTGCTCCATTAAGGACACTGTGAGGTTATGTTTGCATCTTCTGCCTCAAGGGTCCTCAAGGGCAACGAACGAGGAAAAGGAGTAACGTGATGATTTAACCGCCAAAAGTTAATGGTCCGTTTGCATACCTCGAAAATGAAAAATTCCTCGAAATTTCAGTCGAGTGAATCACATAGGATATCTATGTTGTGCCAATTTTCCTTCAGCAGCAGAGTTTTCATTACCAGTTTTCTCTGATCTTTCAATCACCCAAAGTTCCTCTTTTCTTGTTTCTTCAGCTCTCAGTCATCGGATAAGCAGGAGAAATCTCGCAAACCAAAGAGGGGTTCCTCAAATAGCCAGCCAGCTCTGCAGCAGTCTCAACAACTGCCCCAGGTCCAGCAGCCGCAAGCTCAGTCTGCAGCCTCCTCTGTGGTAACATCGGTGTCCAGCAGTGCAGTGGTAACAACATCTAAAAGAGGAGGCAGGAACAATCATCAGACTCCTCCTCCCGCCGTAACTGTGGCACCTGTGCCATCCATCATACAGGGGCCCTCATTGACCGGTGGCCATTTTAGCAGTGTTAGTGCTGGGACTGCAAATGTGATGGGTCCCACCGTGAAGGAGTCACCTCCCAGCAGTCCTGGGTCTGAGAGCATGAGCAGCAACGGACCTGGAAGGCGGAAAAGGAAGAGTGCCAGTGCTGCCTCTACTACACCGATACCCTCTGCCTCCAGCACTCCGACCTTGACAAATCCTAAAGAGGAAAAGGATGTGAAGCTGTAAGTTTTGAGTCATTGTCATAATCCAGTTGTCCTTCACCTGGTACAATAAATTGTTCTGATATTTATTTGTAAATTGCCGCAGGTTTCAAAACGGTGTCAGTGCGCCGCATATGCTGGGCAACCAGCTCAATCCGACATCCACGATGGCGCAGAAGATGTCCGATACCCTCTCTCAAGAACTGGAGGCTCATTCTATTTTTACAGAGGCGAGCAACTCGACGACGAATCTGGTTGGGCCGCAGCTGCACAGCCGGGTCATCGCATCTGTATGTATTTTGAGAAAAGCGCATCGCACCTTCGCGTTCCGTGCATCTAAGAGAGTAGTTTCTAACAGTACGTATTTTAACATACGTCTATGCTTTACAAGCAGATACGATCGAGTCAAGCAGGTGCACCGCCCACGTCGTTCTCTTCAGTCTTCAACACCAACACGAACGCCAACACCAACATGGCTAGCACCGCTGGCAGTGCTTCACTAGGCGGTGGAGCAATACCTCAAACCCTGGACCAGCTTCTGGAGAGGCAGTGGGAGCAGGGCAGCCAGTTCCTAATGGAGCAGGCCCAGCACTTTGATAGTAAGTGTATGGCAAGGAAAGATATGCTTTCTGTCGCATGGGTTTGGAGAAATCGGGGATTCCATCTGTTCACATGATTTTTGGTAACAATTGGATCGCTTTGATGGGTTTAGCTTCCTGGTTTGGTGAATTTAATTTGTATTTCTTGACAAAGTGATTGATTTTTCAAATTTGTTCACAGTCGCTTCCTTACTGTCGTGTCTTCATCAGTTGCGAGCGGAGAACCTTAGGCTAGAGGAACATGTAAATAGTCTTTTACAAAGAAGAGATCATCTATTGGCTGTGAACGCGAGACTTGCTATTCCACTGACTACTCAGCCTAGCACCCACCCAGGTAAGTTATCCCCTCCTTATTGACATACTAGTTCCATAATTTGTGAAATAATTTCTCTGTTCAATTATTTTCAGCAAACAATATCCACCCAACGGTGAACCCATCGCACCCGAACATCCCCCACCCTGACGTCCCACCAGGTGCCGCGGCTCCAGTTCCAAGAGTAAATAGAGAACCGCGGGTGAACAACACGTACATGCCTCATTCCAGTTCTAGTAATCATTCGACAACTCTGGAGAACGGCTTGCCACCCGATCCATCCCCACCTGCGGCGGCTTCGCTGTCCCAGTATCAGCACAGAACGTCATTGGTCGCCCCTCAACCCAGCCCAACGATCAGGTAACGCCTCTGTCCCACGGATGGCGGTCTCCAAACAGGTGGTGCAATTCAATCTCTCTGCTTTGATCACCGTAGGCACAGTCCAGCCGGCAGCGCGTATCACCAAGGTCAGCCCAGCAACATAGTGTCACCCGTACCTGCCAGTAACCCTGGAGTCGTCAGGAACTCGTCAGTCACACCTGATCCGCTGCGTGGAGTACCAAGGTGAAGATAGGAGCCCCTTTTACTCTCAAGGGAACGTACCGAACTGATACAACGCCGATTTTTATGAAACTTTCGGTCGAGATAATCCTTAGAGCTATCTTGAGAGGTTAAAACCTGCCCCTAAAGTTGGGGTTGGGAACCATGTTTCGTCGAATATCTCGGAAATTATTAGAGCTTGAAGAGTAATTTAATTGCGAAGTTGTGTACTTTTAAATAAGTAATACAGTTGCACAACGTGATTTTGAATATCTTAATTTGTTTAAGCATAAGATTAAAATTTGGCACTTTTTGTTCCATTTTCCATTCAAATATTAATTGGTTGCAGGTCAGTGGCACAGTCATCGAGCAATTATATGTCGTCGATGTACCAACCCATCACTATGTCGAATCTTACAAGTAACCAAGTAGGTAATGTTCATAACCTTCATTCACATGGACCTTCTCCGCCCAGTCTCGGACCGCCGGGTAAGCCCAGCTGAAGATAGATGGACACATCGGGGAATGAGGATCGTGCTGTGTTCGTTGAGAGACGCGGTCAGTGATCGCTGGCTGAGAGAGAGCGCGACTGATCGCCTGGTCTTCGAAGGCATAAGTGATATACACCACTGTTAAACGAGAACCATCCGTTGCATTTACAATTTGACAAGGGGGACTTTTTCTAACGTGTCGTTTTTAACACACAATTTCATAGCAACGTTTTTCTACTAGGATGATTGGCAAAGGTGGCTAGATGTAGTTTCCAACGAAGATGGCAGTCAGTTTGTTGTTCTGTATTTTTTTTCTTTTTCTGTTTTAGTACGTCATGTTTCGTTTCTCGTTCGTTATATATATAATAAACACACAGACAGATACACATTCACACACACACACAAACACACCTTGGTTCGCGCGTCGTTGAAACACGTTTGAGACAATCTCTTCCTCATTTACGAGAATGAGCAGAGTAACGGCAAACGCAGATGTACAAATCTTAGTCTGTAAGATAATCTTACCGCGACGAGAATAGCAATAATATTTACAAGTAGGTGTACATTTTAATTGAAAGGTAATCTCTTTGTAAGTCCGGTGGTACGATGTCTCTCACCCATCGTGTTTTATATAGAGGCGTTTGTTGCTGTCGATCCAACAACTTTGACTTGTTTTTAGTTCGAGTGCTTCATCGGGCACTTCGGAGGACTTCCGGTACAGTTGAGAACCGGGAGACAAATTTTTTAGACAGGATTCAGCAACGATATTGGACGCCATGGATTTATTTATTTTTAACTAGTCCTGTTCCGCTTGTACAAGTCCTTCTGAGTACCCGCGACACTTCGTAGAATGGTAGACTGTTTGATTTCGTTTCGTTACAGTCTTCTATCACACTATCCGACTTGTTCCAGTGAGTCCTAGGTTGCGAGAGGATCGTTCGAAATATTGTATTGAAAAATTCAATATGAAATATTACAAGCAATCCTATGGCATGTTAAAAAATTTAAAAATATGTGACTGATTACATTTGGTAAAACTTTGAATATTCAATTTAATTGGAACTCGTGGGGTAACGTGACGAAGCTTCGACCTGTCCCACAGTCGTCAACTGTATATTCTAATCTTATACATAAAACATAGTAGATGTACAACACGAGCACTGCCTTCCACCAATCGAGTGTCGCTGTGGGCTAGGACGACGCGATTGTTTTCTGACTTCGACTTCCACATGGTTGAAAGGAGCTTAACTTCTCTGATACTGGTTTCGTGATGTGTACCATAGGTTTCATTTCCGGTTCGCGTCCGTGTCGATAGCGACTGCACACTTTACTCTACGACTGCGACCTTCGTCGATCGCTGCAACGATAATTGTATGCTAGACATTAATCAAAACTCGTTAGAGGTGTGCTGGGACCTGTCCGTGGTCCCCACCGATAGTACTTTCGCTCAAGGGACTAGAATTCTTTGTACTACGAACACTTGGCGTAGTCCTATTGACGTTTGCGTGATTCTTGTTCCTCGAAATTAAATAGCACACGATTTCGAGGCTAATATAATAAGACTCTGATTAGATTAAATTTATTATATAAACTATAATAAGAACTTGTGTCTTGATACTAAAGTTGTGTTATTTTGTACATTAAAAATTGACGAATAGTTCCATTGTTTTGAAGAACAAGAATCACGCAGTGTTCACAATCAAGGAAAATCGTGGTTTGTCTCTTTTCTAATGATACAATTGGATTAGACCGGAGTGGAGCATCATAAAGGGGAACGAGAAATGATCAAAAATCTGTCTTTCCGACTCGAGAGTTGAATTCCAAATCGTTTTGTTCATTAAATGTCACTGCCTTGATAGACTTAGACTATTTAACTAATTTGATTTCGTTGCGGAAAACGAAGCTGCGCGTAGAGACGGTGACGTTCTGTTTACCGTCGTTGTGTTCCTTATCTTAATTTGTAGTTCATGGAAAGACGATTCGAGATTGCACACGCTGGTTGGTCTGGGAGTTTGGAGAAATCGATTCTCTATTTGGCGTGAATTCGAGGAGACTTTTAGGATAACGAGGACGATAGTGGTAGATCTGGAGGATGTCGAACCTTCGGTATAGCTCGTCACCACTCAGGGAAAATCGATTTACTATTACACGGAATTCGGTCGAGTTCTCTTCGTGCGCGGCTTGCTGCTATTTTGTAATATAAAAATTCAAAGATGACCGTCGGTAGCTGTGCTCGGGGTCTCAGTAATAATCAGAATGGTTCGAACCGATCGAAATAAATTTATCTCGAACATTGTATATATTAATTATCGAACTAATTCCTTAGTCAAAAAATGTTAATTTGATTGGTCGGTCACAGAAATCCACGAACGTCTGTTAATATTTGGGAAAGTACATTTTATTATTCGTAGAAAAGTATAAATAAAAATATGTTAACATTTTTGTAGCATCTCTGATTTCAGTTAAAAAGGTCGTAATCATTTTATATCTATATTGAATGGATCATGGACAGTTTTGCTTTTCTATACAAAACAGATGTTTCTGTATTTTTGGAGAATCGTTGAATGCATATTTCGCATATATTCCAAACGTAATTGGTTTTACTTTGATATTTTACTACGAAAAAATAATTTATACGTTAAACTGTGACTCGTTGAGGACACCTAATCGACGACCTTGAATGTTCGGAGGGACTTCGATGGAAAAAGAAGAAAATTGCTAGAAAAAAAATGAATTATAAAATAATAATATTAGTGTACGTCGAGGACGAGAGCGCGTTTATACCGATGGAAGAGTATTTTATGCATTTTCATTGTAGTGTCGCTGTACATTAAGAGCGAATCTATGCGGTGCGTGCGAGTTATGCGACACTGAGAGAAAAGAATAGTCCGAGGACAAAAATCGTAGGAATTATAGTAACAAAAAGAAATGGTAGAAAGAAAGCAATGCGAATAATATTTTTCCACAGCAGACCGTGCCAAATTTTTGTGATCGAATCATTGAGGATCTCTTGATCATTTGATCAAGATTTTGGGCCAGGCCTTTTCATCCGAGAAATGTACATGAATTTTGAAAAAAAAATGAAAAAGAACATTCGAACCTATCTGTATTTCGTTAATCACGCTGCAGTGGCAATTATATATTTCCTACGTTCGCTTTCCGATTGCTGTACAAATAAATTATTGTGTTCAGTCATTGATCATTGAAGCTCTTGGCAACTCATCATGATTTCTCAAACGAACGTGTCGATCATCAGACAAATATTTCCTTCGTTACAGATATCACTTAGGCAAATTGTATAATAATGAAATGTCAGTCGAATCGCTGGTAGAATTCGTTAGAGTCGTGCGTAGACGTTCCTGTAAACTGGAGCTGCGAATTTTTTAGTTTCAATTCCAGAGAAAATATTTTAGATCGTGCAGTGCTTTAGTCGGGCCTCGGCAATGCTTTGATTGACCGAAATCTTGGCACACACCGTGAAATTTTGATACTCGAGAATGCGACACGTCGCTGTCGAACCAAAGTAACTGCTGCATTGTGGATCTCCATGCATCTTCAGTAATAATCACTTTTTATTCATCATACAATATTTCTAGAAGCTTTTCCTAAGCTTGTGGAATTTTTCTCTGGGTACAAAGTAACCTGCGATTATTAGCCGAAGGCCGCCATAGTTACTTTTTAATATTTCTGTTGCAAGAAATAATTTATAAAATAATTTAACAAAATTAAATAATATACTAATGCTCTTAAATTTTAGTTTTAATTCGTTGAGTTGTTATTTATTTTTTAGGGATTATATAAATTGTAAAATGTTTAATAAAGATCGCTTTGAGATCCGCAGGGCAGTGATTAGCGTGCGCGAGCGTGTTTTCATTTTTCTACGAGGAAGCGAACTAAACTATTCCAGACAGAGAACATTGTAAAAAAATAATTGGGTCTTGAGCCGGAGAACGTTCGCCGTAGTGCACTTGCAGGTTTTCCCAAGAATCGCATGTCCAAAAAAACACTGTAATTAAACCCGAGAGACTCGAAATCCGTGCGAACGCTTGGGACAGACTGCAAATCATGTAAAGGGCGCTAGATATTCATGTAAAAACAAATAAAAGGCAAAGGGTGTTTTGCTCGTTGAGTATCGGGACGATTCAAAGACTCGGAATTGATCGTGATCTTTTGTATATTTTTCAGGAAACAAGGAGAAATAGGAAAACGATACAGGCAGCTAAGCGATCGGGCCCAATGGTCTTTGAATCGTCTCGCGGACCGTATGTCTGTGTCGTAACCCTTTATGTATGATTGAGAAAAATTATGCGGACCGAAATGCCATATGTATTTCCACAGGGGACAATTTTCTATCGACAACAAAAAGTCTGATTGTTTTTTAATAAGCTGACGTATCCGTGTCATTGGACGCCTCGTTCGTCTCTGATGGTATTGTTCTTGAGTCGGTGGAACGTTGGTGTTCAACAATCAGTATAATTTCTTAAAACCATATTTTTAATTATTAGAGGATTTTTTCAATTTTTCTAGAACTTTTACCAGGCTTGAAGTAATATAATAGCGATGCTATGCAATGTTCTCTATCTCTCTGTCTTCAGTAAAATATTTTTGCTTACGAATCACTTTTCCTATTTCGTTGAATTAATTGTAGAGATTTAACACCGACTCAAAAACGAGAAATAAGAAGCCATAGCCTGCTTCGGATGCCTAGAACGTTTCATTTTTATACCAACATCTTGATAAGAGATTTACACCGTAAAATTAAGGAACAGCGTCTATTGGCCCAGGGGCGAACGGGGATGGAAATTCACCCCTGAAGAGCGACAACGGTTCTGATCACGCACGAGGAAACTCGGAGCTGTCAGAAACGTTGTCTTGGAGTCGCGTGGATTGGTTCCGGATCCAGGGATGTAAATCATTGTGCGATACCGTTTTGTAATGTATCTGTGCATACGGAAGCATGTAATAAAAGAAGACTAAATGATTACGACTACAAACATTTTTATCGATCATTGCCAACCAAAGTTCAATTCTAGTCCTTAAATTATTTTTGATACAATACCAATGATCAATCTGAAAAATATCCACAAAATCTAAGTACATAATTAAATTAATGATACTGACACTAGAAAGTTAAAATTCATCGTAGTGAATGGTATTTTGATTCTTTTGGATCCCAAAGTTTCTTAAAAATCTAATTTGTTCGATTATATATTACAATGAAAATGTGTATTTTGAATGTTAGTAAAAATTCAATTTTTTCTTCAAGTTCTTCTTATTAGCTTTTCCTACTTATTTTGTTTCCACTGCAGACTATTTTCTTTTTGTTCCGTAATTTATGTTTCGATGGGATGAGAATGTGGCGAGGAACATTTGCTACAGGACAGAAGTCCCTGCATTGTTGCTAATTGTAAGAATGCAGAGAAATCCGCGGAGTTTGCCTCGGTGCCGGCCAACCATCGTGGGAAGTCTCACCTGCGACCTCGTCTGCGGCGAATCAATATTACACGAATGTACGAATACACTATGGTTCATGGATAACGCTGCTAGCTACTCTGCTATCAGGACACTGTTGTTCCTTATCAATCTACTGACCTCGAGCAATAAGAATCTTCATTCTGCAATATTCAGCTCTTTCATGGACACCTGTCGACGCAATCAATTGCATTTCCTTTCCCTGGTCTCGTATCCGTTTATACAGGGTGTGTCACTGGTTTTTGCAAAATCAGAAAAATGTTCCTACTCAATGAACATTCAATAGCTTGCTATATCTAGTTTTTCTCGTTGCATGAATCCTTAGAAAAATTGTTTCAGGCTTATTCACATTTGCTTCGAATGTGACACTAAAAAGTAGCTTGCTGTGACTTTATTTGCATACATAAGATCAATTTAAATTCAATGTCGATCATAGTCTCTATTCGCTCTCGATGTGAATCTAAATATCTAAATTTTTAACAACGTTCTGTAATGTTACCTGCATTTTCATAAAATCAATACAAATTCAAGGCTCCCCACTGCCGTAATTTTTTATAGTACTCCAGATTATGGTCCCTACAGTTGAAGAGAAGAATATTAAAAATTGTACCACGATACAGAGAACAGCTATGAACTATTGTCCAGGAGAAGATACGTCGGTTAGGGGTAGGCGCGAAAGTTCAATACCTGAGGTTGAACCTAATCGGCTCGAACGTCACGGGACCGTGGCACCGTGAAAATTAGCAAACCATAGAATCGCTTGCGCAGCCCCTTCCGCGTATTGGAGCCGCATTAAGAGCACCCTCTTGTCACGAGGGTGGCACTTGCGTAGATCCACGCAGCTGGAGTGACACACAAATAAAGTATTAATTCTCAGCTCGTCTCGTAATGGAGGCGAGTCTCTCAACGCTCTCTACACTTTGTTCAAACTCGTCTTCTCTCGGTATGTATTCATTGGATGAACTTTGAATCGATAGGGGATGACGCTTCAAAAATTTAAACCATGAAAATATAATCCTTCGTAGAACAAACTAATTTATTCCTTTGCAACATTTGCTATTTATTTTTTTTAAATCACTTATATTATCTTTTTATTTTATGTTTTGCTGAGTGTAAAATATAAGTACAAATTATGCTAAAAGTGTATCAACACTCAGGGGTATAAAAAAGATCCGAGAATTAGACCATTATGTTTTGCTGAATTGATTAATATTAATTGCTTGAAATGTAGCACCATTTTCTTGGAGATCATTTATTTCTTCATTGCAGAGTAATGACAATCAAATCAAGTGTTATATTGTCTCCCTTGACAATCGTATGGAGGGTATTATGGGGGGCACTACAAGCGTGGAAGTAATCCAGAAGGGTCCAGGGGTCGATGATTCTGCCGGAACTTCAGAAAACACCCCCTGGCCGCAGCTGGCCCAGGTATTTGCGTGCCCCAATTTTTCAGTGTACTGTTGTGGATGGTGGGGAAGATCCAGAAGTAGGGTGGTCGGCTGCTCTCTTTTGCTGTCTGCACCCTTTTGAGCCCTCCTGGGCTGTAATGGAACCCCATCGTTTTACCTTTAGGTGTAACACCCTTAATTCCATCTACCTAGACGACACAGCAATCTTCTTTGTTGTATCGTTTCCAATAACCTTGTCACTTGTCTTCGATTTCACAATGACTAGGAGATATGTTATCAATGACATCAATATGCATACATATGTAAATATATTACATAAATATTAAAAATATGATGTTATTTTGTATGAATGTCTGTAAGAATTTGTTAGAAGATGTATCTATATTTTGAAGTGATGGTTTTAAGGTCGATCAGATTCATGTATCCTAGAAGACAGAAATCTCACAGGATCAGGAAGGATTACGCTGCAAATGGCAAACATTGCTCAAGATTATCGCGAGAGGATATTGCTGCTTTACTCTATATTTATGTGGCAGAGCATTTATGGGGCACGAGTGGTCGAGACGAGGATGATAAGGGCAGGTGTATGAACACACCTGCGTCAATCGTAGATAACATTTGAACCACTTTCGATGAACCGATAAAATCCACCCCTCTAATCGTACACTAATCTTCTGTATTATTTAGTTCCTGTAAATGTCGTCTGTTTATCGTTACGGGAGGCACATGGTTCGACCATAATTACTTCTGCCTACGTGACATGTAAAACGAAATACTGTGTCCTGCAAAATTCCAAAAGATGAATCCTTTTTAATTTAATCTTTTATCTGATTTTAATTTCTTCTTTGCAAAGATTTTAGCATTAAAAAAGGAACTTCTTTTAATTTTAATTTTTCCTGTGACATGTAATCTGATTTTCATTCATTCATTCTCGTTCCTTATTGCAAGGGATTCAGTGAGAGATATTATTGTACTTTTTTTAAATCGTGAGGTCTTTCTCTTAATTTTTGCTGTCACATATATAGCAGTATTTTTATTTACTTTAAATTTCTCAAAGTACTTAACCGTATATTTTTTTATTACTTTTTTATTATCGTATGGGAAACAGCACGTTTGACATTTTAACGTTGCTACAATGATCAGAACAGCTACTAATTTTTATTTATTTAAAATTACAGGAGCAAAGCAATTTCTTGAATTTTCTGGGACAATCTATCGAGTTTAGTGGATGCTGGAGGAACGGAGCGAAGAAAAAGAGGAAAGCAAGGATGCTGGCGTATGGTGAAGGGCTCGGGCTCGATTCGTCCCGCGGGCCGAGCGTGTATCGTCCCTAATTGTCCACAAATCGACGGCCACCCTCGATTTCCGAACCGTTAAGTACAACCACCCCTGGGAGGCTGCGGGGCGTTCCGCTAGCTCTGTCGAGGGGGTCTGGATACAACAGAGCAGAATATGGATTCAATTACACCTCTTTGTGCCGCGGTGTCTATAAACAATGCTGTTTTCACAGCTGATAGTGACCCACGTTTGTCTGCGGGTTGATGGCTCACCCGCTGTACACGTCCCTCTTTTCTAAACTTTCGCTATCACATTCGCCATCCAAAATTTTAAAAAAGAATTCCCAAGTATCTAAACATTGTCATGAAATAATTTCAATTGTTGCAATCACGGCTTCCATATTCATTACCTTTCGTTAACCTCCATTAGCTTCCATATTTATTAACTATCATTAGCTTTTATTAGTTTCAGGTACTTGAAGATCGCAGCCACTCTTCAAGATTCAACCTCTCCGCCGTTGAAATAAATCGGGCACGGAATCCAGCTAATTATGTACAATAATGTGTATACTGAATATCGACAGAGACCGCTCAAGTAGAAAATTGAAAATCCATTTTGCAGTACTTGGGGCAATGATAATAGCAATCACGCTGTACTTTTGCAGGGATAAAGTGTCTGCGAAAACACTCCTTATTAACTGTGGAGGCTAGCCTGAAGGAAACTCGGGTAGGTAGTTCATGTTGGAAAAGAACGAAGAGGGAACGGAGAATGCCGTGGGAAGATCCGCAGCCGGCGACGCCATTACTCCCGCGTCGCAGGACGTCGCGACGCCGCATTATCGACGTACCGCCCACCATTCGCTGTCTTTCTCGTTCTCCTTCTCTAGCGCCTCTCTCTTGGACGAATTGCAGCAGAGAATTTGGCGGAGTTTCTGCCCTCTCACCATGGCCACCATTTCATGTTTGTTCGTTGAACAACAACTTTGGAATTTCTGCTTGAAGTCTACAGAATTTGTCTTCGAAGTCCGCATAATTTATTCACGAAGTATGCGGAATTTTTTAGTTGAAAATCTGCAGAATTTCTGAATTAGAATAAATTGAAAATAGTGGTAGAGGAAAGTTTGGAAAGTCTTGAAAATTCAGGAAGTAGTCTTATAGATTAGGGTATGTCGAATAAAAATTGCTGGAAATTTTGAACTCCTTGAACCTACTTTATTTGACTCCATTCGCAAGAATGATGACACCATCTTCATTGCTTCTCACGTACAAACGATACTCACTTAAATTACTTATTCCTAGCAGTGTCCTGTAGGTATGTACAATTGTAACATGTGTTCACGCGAATTCTGCCGGCACATTTTGCCATTCGCTTAGATCATCTTTATTGCCAGGGAGAAAGTAAAAGAATCCCGACAGAATTTTCGCAGATTCGCTTCTATCGCGGAAAATTCTCTGCAATTTACAATTAGAAACTCCTTCGTTTGCCTTCGATTAAAATACTTCAGTTAAATACTCTTAACAATAATAATACTGTGGACCGTAATCTGACTAGATTGAAAACTAGCTTCGACTTTTATAAAAACAAAAAATTGCACGCCGAAAATCATTGCTTAAATGAGTCGACAAATTTTTAACTTAATTTCGAGACGAAAAGTATTCGTTAAATTATTTTTAGAAGAACCAAGGGGTAAACGATTGTAAAACGACTAGGCCCTATTTGTTCTTAAACACTAAATAACACTGGGACTCGATGATCAAGTCCTGAACAGTCTATTCAAACGTCGTGCTGTTCTTCGATGTCCTTGGATCCTCAGGTGTCCACACTTTCGCGTACATCGTCCCATTCGGCGAGATGTCCGATTTCCTGGACCAGGAAAGCGAGTGGAAAATAAAGGGATTTCCCTCACTGCCTGAAATTTAATTGTTCCAATAACTAACAAACCACTGATCCCCGAAATTAACTTCCCAAAAAACAGTGACCCTAATCTCCAGATTTTTGTAGCAACCCCATCTCTTCTATTAATTTCTCAGGTAGTTAAATAATTTTTAAGAACGCTCCGAACTAATCGATGAAAAGAGAATAAGAAAGTGAGTGCGACTGGTATTGGCCTCACCACGAACTATGATCTTCTTCGAGTCGTCTCGACCGGAACACCTCGACAGTCCACCATTTCCTGTCAGTGTATCGTTCCCAGTGTCAGCTCTGACCAATTCATTAAGAAACTTGATGTAGCCGATCGCCAATTTCAAGGTGTCGACCTTGGACAGTCTTTTCTCGTACGGCAACGTAGGTATGTGAGCCCTTAGGCCCTCGAACGCGTCGTTTATGTTCTGCATTCGTCTCCTCTCCCTCATATTCGCAGCTTGCCTCTGTTGCACTGCCTGCCTTGGACTCTTCCCTGATCCTCCATTACGCCTGCTACTCTGATTTCTTCTGGAAACAATCGTTCCATCCTTGTTAATTATTTCCTCCAACTTCTGGTAGCTTTAAACGAAAATATTAACAATCGGTCAATGGGAATATTAAGGAGACTTAGCTGGATGTCGAGCGAGTGCAACAAAATTAAACTTCTTGGCGCGGGTCATATATAGGTCGATACTTACTCTCTGGTATGGTTCTCCTGGTCGCTGCTGTATGCACTCTCGTTGTCACTGCTGTTCTCGTCGTAGAGGTAAATCTCGCTGCCACTGGAGCTGCCGGTGCTACCAGGAGGATGCGAAGCCAGTTGCGAAGGTATGGAGGGTAGTGTAGCCGTCGTCGGTGCACCGCAATGGGGTGGCAGAGCTGGGATTGCTGGGTTACCCAGGAAGCTGTGCGCCTCGTAAATGTACTGGCGGTTCATCATGTCCAGTTCGATATTGTCCATCGAATACATCTTGAACTTGTTCTGTCCTTCGACTGGTAAAGACACACACAGCGACTAGAACCCTCGACTGGATAAAACTGTTCGAGAGATAGGTCTTCTTCGTTCGCTACATCATCTTCTGGCGAAGTACCGGAATTGTCGCGTTTGTCCAAACACTGAAGTGCCCTTCGGTACTGTTGACTCAATCACACTGGGATTAGCCGATCATCTCCGCCAGAATTCCACCGCACACACCCTCGATCACGTCCGGAGGATCTAGCGATCCTATCAGGGACACGTGTCCCCGCCGCGTGCTGGCAAATACTTCTAAACAGCGGCACGTGCTGCTCCGGACCCAAGACACGTGGCCAGATTTGTTGGGATAGTTATCTGAGCACTGCACAGGTTCTCCAGGTACTTTGATCTCCACACGATCCAGGATCAGTCGTCTTCATTCTCGATCCTAGCTTCCACGAAGACATCATTAGACTCCATCGTCCTCTATAGCATTACTCCTTCAATCTTTGGCATAATGTGCTATGTTTATACAATTGTAATTATGCGTTGTTGATCTGCCAGAGTTTGGATCGCTATGTTGTAACCACTGCTAATATTGTTAATATTTCCTTAACTTTTACATCACCATGATGACACTGACGACGAGCATCCTTTTTTGGATTTTGATGGAATTGGAGATCGGTGTCTGGGAACTTGAAACAGAGAGGGACCGGTCATGTTCAGGGACTCCGGGTGAACATTTTGCCTCGGTTGATACACTGTAACTGAAAGGGAACAGCGGATGAAGGCGGAATCCAGTAGCAGGGGTTGATAGTTGGTTCGCTACCCTATTCGTCGGTCTGAACGCTGGCGGAGCCTGCCACCCCCGGTTGCCAGGGTGCTGGGTCCGCCTCTTCATCGATCTGATAAAGAGTGCTGAGCCTCCCGGTATTGGATAACTCGCGGAAAAGTCGGCAATGACAATCCGAGTCCGGCGAATTTGTGTATCGAATTTTGCCCATGAACTTCCCCTTCAAACCTCCAGCAACTTTGTAAAGATATCTCGCGAATAGAAAACTTAGAAAGTCGTCAAATACCCATTTCAGCATTGTGTTCAGGGTGTCCATTTGAAAACTTTAAATCTGTGTATCTCGAGAACTCCACAGTTTTGGGAAAAATGTTAAATACAAGGTTACTCGACTTCACTATTCTCTCATTTTATCTGAAAAGCGTTTGCGTCATTCTTAGTTCGAATAATCAAGGTTCCTTTATATATCGCAGAATTTTTGGATTCTTTTATGTATCTCAGTTTCGGGCCAGACTCGATCAATTCCTTCATCATTTATGGACGACTACCCAGGGCCGGAAGCACGAGGAAACTCGAGGCTAATACAATTTCACGGCGTAGCTGGCGAAGAGAGCATCAATGAATCGAAGGTGCAACGGCGAAAGAAATTGCTGGCACGTGTCGTTCCACGTGCGCCAGGAGCGCAAGGGTTCGTCGAGGGTTAACCGCTGCGGCGACATTTGGCCCAGGCCGCAACGTGTAATTATGGGCCTGGTAACAGGTCAATCTGATTTTCCGGGGCGTTATTACCGTACCGCGAAATTTCTATTATTTAATAGGCTCGGCTGTCGCGACAATATGTTCGCCGGAACTCCGTTTCGTATCGTGGAAATTGCATGGTTGCAATCGTGTGCAGTTTGTTGAGACTGGTACCTTTTGATTCATGATAATAACGCCTGACGATTCTTTGTTTCCCAGAACTTTGTCTGATGTAGAAGTGTACTTGAGTAATTTTTTTAAGCAAACGTATGAATTGCTACTGTTGTATTGTATATTTTTGTACGTTGAAATTATAGATATAATGTTTCCAGCTGCTCCCATTGAGTTGCCGACAGAGTACGTAAAGCATTCCCCATTATCAGTTACCTGAAAGTATATTAAACGTCCATTCAGGGCTGGCAATTAACACAGTTGTAATTAGGAGGGTTGCAGGGGTGAATTATTCGCTCCATCTGGTGTTACGTTCCGGTGGAAATCGTGAAGGAGATTTGTTTCCCACGAATGCAATTTAGATGGACAGGAAGTGAATGATGAGAAAAATTTATTTCACCCCACGTGTAATGTATTTGTTTATTGCTTTGTGAGAAGAGACACATGAATTATTTTAAACTGAGCATTTTATTTTTGTACAACTGGACACGCGAAGATGCAGGTGCTGAAGATTGCGAAAAAATCGATTTGCAGATCGGAAACCGCATTCAGATTTAATCCGTAACGAAAATAGGAGGTCGAGGGGACAGGTCCATTGTACGCTGCCGAATTTTTGATCCTCGAGATTGAGAGATAACCGAAGGGGATCAGATTTAAATGGCAAATCCTTGCACACGTGTGCGAGCTTCCAAGTGTTATCTCTGAATGGGCTGAGAAATAATTCTAATGCAATTAGAACATAGTGTACCTCTTTGCAAAATAACTACTATATTTTTTATAAATAGTGAGAAAACGTGTGATTAAACTTTTCTACCGGTTTTTATTTATTTAAAAATGTGTTCATAATCTGGAAGCTCCTGTCGTGTGCGAACTCATCCCTGCTTAGAGGTATACCCGCCCCATGCACAACCGATTTTCCATGGCACATCCTTGCACCCGTGGTCCCAAGTCCAACACCTGGTAGTCGGGACAACCCCGTGAACATCCTGGTACCCACTCGAACGGTCCCTAAGTGTCTATTAATTTATACTCAGCGGGAGTGTGAAATCGATTTACACACTCGGGTCTCGATTCATTATTTGTGAGCATATATCATCCCCTTCCGACAATAGAAAACATTGTCACGACGCATCTAAAAATTTCACAGAAATTATATACTTGAAATGAAACCACGGACCATTGGAAAAATCAGATCCAGTAAAACTTATTCAAATACTGACGAAGATAAAACAAAACCATATGTTGAATTGTCTTCAATATTATTAATTCAAATATAGTATTCCCAATATATTAAAGCTATATTATATTACAATAAAGACATTTCTATGTAACTCCTGTAGTTTATATATTTTTCTTCCCCAATGTTTGGTGCGGTTATGTCGTGTAAAATGCTCAAGGCTACCGGCAGCGTTACAAAGCAAAAAACTTTCTAATGTCTATGGGGCACACCTTACACAATATTTGTCCCAAAACATCCGGCGAACGATTGAGGGTGTAATCAAGCGGGCTGTTCGCATCGCGGCTAATTTAACCATCAGTCTGTCTCGGCAAATTCCTAGCCACCTGTCTAATATTCACTCTTGCATCCGTTTCCGGTATGCTTGGGGGATGTTACCCCCTGCGGTGTCCTCGTACACGACCCCATGAACTTTCCATGGTTCGGTGCGGTGGCACCTTCACCCTCGATATCCCATAAAATCGATTCCGTTATCATTCGATAGGTCCGAGCTACCTGGAGTTTTTAGGACAGATGGATGTTGGGGCGGATAATAGTCTCTGCACAAACGAACATAATTTCCCCCATGGGAATCAGCTGAGAATTATTCTCACCGATCGAGATGTATTTGTATATATTGAGATTAGAAGATCCTGCTATCTTCCCGCTGATCTGCGTAGGTTGAATGGAACGTTTAATTCCTGAATGCTGATCGTTTATCTGGAAATCTATAAATCCGCTGCAGAGTAATCCAATAATGCTATCTCCTCTTTTTACGGTTGCCGACTCTTCAACATCTGTTCTCGAATGGAGGTAAGATTTAATAAAAAAAAAAGATTCCTAGTTATTTTTAATATCATTTGTAAATGAGCCACTTTTAAATGTAGTACTGCTTTTTCTGTTTCAGTATGTCTGTCTTCCAAATCATTCACCAAAAATCGAGTAGCAACGGTCACATAAAAAACTAAATCAAGTACGGAATTGTTCAGGAGAATCTACTGCTTCGATATCATATGCAAAACCAAATTACATCATTACGAAACGTAATTATTAGCTGCATAATGTTTGGTTAACTATTACGTGAACTAATTATATTTTGTGTTATTGTTATTTGGTTTTCTTACACAATATCGATGCAGCAGATTTTTCTGAGTAGTTCTATGCCGTTGATTTTGCGTTTTATGTCCTAATTTTACCATAATTAATGTTTTTAGGTGACCCTGCATTCTGCACTTGTGAGCAATTAAGTCACCTCTACTGGAATAAAAAAGAGCTCTTTTCGTACAGAATCGTCCGCACAGCTCCAACTGGGGTAGTAACAAAACGCTCAAACTGTTAGCTATGTTGCCGACAGCCAAGCTTCGAAACCTTATCGACAGCCAAGCCTCCTATACCTCATTTTTAGTACTAGATCTACTTGTATACCGCATCCGTAATAATACTATATTGTAAGTAGTGAACACTGCAGATACCGATCTGCTATCTCTGGAAAAGTCAGGTGACTTCTCACAATCTTCGTCTTGTAAACAGCGTCCTTGCAACTCAATAGAGCCTTATTGCCTAACCATTTCGTCACGACATTACTCATCCAGTCAATCAATGAAGATCATCTAAATCTTTCCATAATGTCGTGTTCAACCTCTTGCATAGATCCCTGCATAGATCCCCAAGCCTTTCGATTAAACTCTAATTATACATTTATCCCAGTCAATTCGAATGCATAAAGAGAATTAGATTCTTGATGGCAAACTAATTGAAAAATCGCGGTCGGTCGTCGTCGATGCTTGTGGATACTACGGTCGCCACCTAGATGGCCTTCAGCTCGTTCTTCGTGGCCGGTCAGTATTTTTGCTGAGCTGGATCGTTGTTTACATCCCGAAGCCGCTGTTCCAGCGATCCGGCGCGTGAGGAGAGGAGCGGCTGGAGACAAAATTTCCTGTGAAAATCATCGCGCTGGCCTGCGGCCGAGCCACGATCATCAGCGTTCTATTAGTTATTCCTGAACAGCCGGAGAGCACGGACAAACCTAGCGAGTTCGAGTCGTGACCCTACGATCACGATGAAGGTAACTGTGACCACGCTCAGCGACGACATCTTCGTCCTGGACGTCAGCGAGGAGTTGGAGCTGGAGAACTTCAAGGCATTCTGCGAGATCGAGAGCGGCGTGCCGGCCCACGAGATCGTGATAGCGTTCAACGGCCGCCCCCTGATGGACGATAAGAAGTCTCTAAAGGATCACGGGATCCGGGACGGAGACGCGGTGATCCTGCAGCATATGCACCAGAGCGGATCCGACCTGAACCTACACCCCTTAAACGGAGGTCAGCTTCAATACCGCACCATTATTTAACGTGGCGATCGAGGCGGGTCGTGAGGTTAGCTTTTCGGCTTCGATTTACGTTCTCAGTCACTCTGTAATTGTACACTGGTCTCACCACACCGTCAGAGGCCCTGTCACACGCACATGAAACTCCCAGCGCAGTCCCTATTTGCACTATATTGCTGCAGCCCTCGTTCTATACCTGCCTTTGTTTTCGAATTTGAGTTATGTGATTTGTTTCGGACACTGGCCAAAAATTTTAGTTGTTTTTCTACTGCAGTAGCATTTAGAAACTGCTAAGATCTTTGGTTAATGTTGAATATCCCCCTGCATGCTGTCTCTACTCTAACATGCTTTGCACAGCTGTTGATTTAATCGTGCACTGCAATGCGCTTTCCTGTCAGCTATTTAAGAGCGCATACCGCATAGAACAAAAGAGAATGTATTAAATTCCAAGATACGTCACTCTAGCTATTCCCATGTTGGACTTCAGTTCCATCAGAGTGCCAGGAGCAAGGCAACCTTCTACAACAAACAGTACTGCCAGAGTGCAAAATCCTAGGAGTGAGGATGATCCAGCAATGATTCGAGACATGTTCTTAGCCAATCCGGATCAGCTAGCATTGCTCGAACAGAATAATCCTAGGTTGGCTGATGCATTGCTATCTGGGAATTTGGGTCAGTCTTGCATACTTCATTCTATTATTTGGATCAGTTTATGTAGCTAAGAGGATTCTTTGTTCTTATAGAGAGATTTTCTACCATACTCAAGGAACAAATTAAAACCAGAGAGGAACGACAGGCTCAAAGATTGAGGATGATGAACGCAGATCCCTTTGATACAGAAGCTCAGAGACTCATTGCGGAAGAAATCAGGGAGAAGAACATCGAGGCGAACATGGAAGCTGCGATGGAGTACAATCCTGAGACGTTCGGCACAGTTGTTATGTTGTACATTAATTGTAAAGTCAATGGATTCCCGGTTAAGGCATTTATCGATTCAGGTGCGCACCGACATTCGGAAAAGTTGCGTTTACAATTCGCCAAGGGACGCTAATGAACCACGCGAAAACGCAGTACCAACGTTGGAGTGGAGACAAGATTATTTTTAAATGTCGGGCGTGGGCAGCTATTTTTAAATTCCTGCAGTTCGAAAGTCATTCTTTGATTCTTTTCGCGGCGAGTTGGCTAATTTTGGACGTTCGCGCATGTTCGCCTGATCGTATTTTTAAATGATCTTGACGCCTGCTCCAGTTTGCAACCGCGATAAGGTCACACTGTAACACATAGCTATGAATCAGGTGCGCAGACCACAATCATGTCCGCTGCTTGTGCCGAAAGGTGCCATATCATGCGATTAGTCGACACCAGGTGGGCTGGCGTGGCTAAGGGCGTGGGTGTTCAGAACATCATCGGTCGCATACATATGGTACAAATCCAGATCGGCAACGATCACCTGACCACATCCTTCAGTGTTCTTGAGGAGCAATCCATGGACATGCTGCTAGGCCTAGACATGCTGAAGAGGCACCAGTGCTGCATAGACTTGAAGAAGAACGTCCTAAAGATCGGCACCACTGACACTGAGACGTCCTTCCTGGCTGAAGGTAAGTCTAGAACCATTTAAGCTTCGTCAAATCATCAGAAATAGTTAATAAAATTTGTTGATCTTCGGAATAGGTGACCTGCCAGAGTGTGCAAGGCTAAGTGGCAATAATGAGGAAGTGTTCGATGACAGAGAACTGCAAAGAGCACTGGAAGACAGCTCTAGGGATGCTGGTAAGCAGGCTGGTAAGCATCAACATCAGATTCTGTAAGCTGTGCTAACCCTAGCTAATCCATTTCTTTTTCCACAGACTCCTCTCCTCCCTGAGAACATCCAAAAAAACCTGCATCTATCCTGAAACACTGTACCCATCAAAATAAATTTTTGAAGGAAAAGGATGATGTCCTTTTTATGTTTGCCTTAGATGGCCAGGGTAGCAGCAACGCCAGCGACACAGCAGTGTCCTCCAGCAAACCTATTTCCCCGGAGACTATCTTGCCAACTGATCAATTCACGGAGGAGACGGTGAAAGAGATCGAGGCTCTAGGGTTCACAAGGGCGCAGGTGATCGCTGAGTTACGCAGACTCAACGGGGACAAAGCTCAAGCCACCGCCGCGTTGTTCCTGAAATCCTTGAAGTTTTAAAACCCGGTGATGAGTCAGGGACTATTTTGAACTCGGGATATGGGGCGGGAGAATTTGTACTTGATTTTTTCGTAGTGATTTTTATCGCCGACAACCGGTACGTCCAATGCACCCGACGACCAACGTTTGCTCAGAGGTTCGATTCGGCTGTGAAACAAAGCTGTGCACATTCCGTGTATACATGTTTTATCTCTCATTGTTATGCGGACATAGTGCGCGCGCCAGTCACTGCCCTCTACCATCTAGACCTGTAATTATCGCAATAAGCTTCGAGGGGATGGTCGGCGAGAAATCCGAAAAACGAGTCCGAGTGTTCCGTTCCTGATGATGTGGAGAGTATACAATATCAATCAGCAGAAATGTTGTATCAGGTTCATTCCGGAAATGACGAGAATGATCGTTGCGGACTGATGATTTAGTTCCTCCATTTATTTATCGATCAACAAAATTCGAGGGCGGATCCCGGGATGGGTGTTTCAATTTTTTTTATTTTGCGAGATCAAGGACGAACTTAGGAGTGGGAATTTTTGTTATCTTCCGTTTTTTTTCTTTTCTCTTTTTAGGTGATTGTACTGTCATTGAACACGCATTTTTTACTGTTAATACCTAGCAAAGGTATGTGGTATATTTTTCTGTATTTTCTTTATTACATATTAAAAGACGAAAAGCAGAACGATTCTGTGACTTTTACCAGCATCCTTTCGTCGGTTGGGTGAAAACATAAACCATCGTTTCGAATGAGAATTTATAATTATCGTTTATTGTATCTGGGTATAGGTACACATACATAGTGTTCAGTCATAATTCTTCAGAATTCAGGTATCTCTTCGGGCGACCAATGCAGCTCCACAGGCTTGCCAGTTCTGGCGGATTCTTCGCACGCATTGGCAATCTTGCTGACCGCCAAGGTCTGTTTCGGCTGCACGGACATCTGCGCTGTTCCGAAGACCACGTCGATGAAGTGGTCCAACTCCCTTTGGTAGGCTTCATGGTATCTGCTCGAGAAAGAGTGGAACATACGCGCCTGTGTGGTACCCTGATGACCACGTTGTACGGTCACACCATGCACTGGACGATGGTTGTCGATCGTGATCATTCCCTTGGGACCATAGACCTCCATTCGCTGGTCATAACCATGGCTGCTGGTGCGGGACACATCGCACATTCCCATGGTACCGGACGGGAAGTTGAGCATGACCATCACTGTGTCATAGTCTCCTATGGCCTTGATCTCTGGGACGTGCGAGTAGGCCTGGACGGTGACCTGTTAAAATGTCATTTATCATTTTAGTCCCAGCGATAATGTTATGATCGCCTAACTCCGAAATGGTTGTGATAAAAATACAGTAATTCTGCCCAAGCCAAGGGATAATTTGGGAAAATTTACTGTAGTAGAAAATCTACATATGGTTTCATAATTAGAACTATTGGAATGACCCTGAAGTGTCGAAACATTCTCAGTGGATTACCTGTTAACTAGTACATTGGTGACTAATTACCTTGTTGGGCAGCTCGCCAAGCAGCCAGGTGATGATGTCGAAGTCATGGACCATGCAGTCGTGGAAGATCCCACCAGAGTGCTTTATGTACTCAAGCGGTGGTAGAGGAGAGTCTCTGGAGACAGTCTTGATTATATGAACATGTCCGACCTCGCCGTTCTGTACTCTTTGATGGACAGCAGCGTTGCTGGGGTCGAAGCGTCTATTGAAGGCGCTGAAGAGGGGTTTTCCAACTTTCTTGGCGATTTCATAGCACTTGAGAATGTTCTGACGGTCCTCGGCAACCGGCTTCTCGCAGAACACAGCTTTCTTAGCTTCCAGTGCCTGCTTCACGATCATCTCGTGGGTGCTTGTTGGGCTAGCTATTATGACTGCGTCCACACTGCATAATAATTTTTAATGAACTTAGCTACTCGGTCTATACACAACATTAATTTCAGTGTACAGAACTTAAAAGAATTTTAAAACACTGCTTCGGACGACTTGGGTACTCACTTGGGGTCCTGGAAGACCTTGGTGGCCTGCTTGCTGTTCAGGAAGGTGACGTCGTTCAGGTGCCAGTAGTCTTTGAGCTTGGGCCAGTTGCTCTCCATATCGTCGACGATGTACATCAGTTTGGCACGCGGGTTGGAGACGATATTGCTGAGATGGATGGTTCCTGCACGGCCAACTCCGAAGAGGGCTAGCCTCAATTGCGGTTGACGCGTATCCTTCTTCATCGCCACGTTCTCCATGTACCTGTAGTAACAGAAAGTCGTTTCAGAATATTCGGGATGAAGCCAGAATTGCTACCAGCAGGCTTGTAATGGACAGTATGAACAGAGGATGATGTTCAATGATGAAAATTGGCAGTATACTCACTTGTGGTAGAGGTAATCCTCTGTGGGTAGCATGGTTGCCGTTTTGGTATACGGCGAAGCTTCTCTGAATTTTGTGGTCGACATGGTCTCTGGGAGATTTGTGTAAACAAACAACAAGCCGGTCTAATTACTATGCAAATCGAGAATCTGTGTGTCAGTTCGAAGAGAGAATGATCTTTATATATAAATTAGCCGGCTGGCTTGGTGGGGATGAATCTGGCAATCAATTGTGACGTATTTTTTATATCTTATAGGATTTGGCGACTACCAACATTCCTGATTTACAGACTCCGCGGTTACACACTTGTTTACCGATTGTTTATCTAGTTGTCCTTTTAGGCGACTGATAATGGCTAATTAGTCATCTTCGGTGGAAAGTTTCTTCGAATCTGTCCAAGGTATCTCAAAAACGATTTATGAAATCTATCACGACCGGAATGCAGTAGTGCTCATATTAGAGTTGCTATATCTTGCATAGACTTATTGCAGTTTTATTGAAGCAATAAAACTGTGAAAAAAAATTTACCTACATTAATTTTGTCTCATTGTAAAGTGGAGATTTTAATCTACACCTCCATGACTGTTTTAGTGAAGAAAAGATTTTGTTGGACTCTTCGGAGTAGTCTGGATTCACATAGAGTTCTTATAATTTGAAAAATTATTTTCTAATGGATGTGTAACTCTGGCTATTTATATCACTTTTTGAATTTTTCATTTCTTTATTGAAGCAATAGATAATACGGCGTGCCCCTAATTTTCCACAGTACGATCGTGTTCGAAACGTTAACAATATCGTTACGTTTATGTAATTACTGCAACGTCTGGAATATTACCGGGTACGGTGTTGATATCAATTTTTAGATTAATTATACATAAGCATCGAACGAGTCAGTTCTTGAAGAATAGGGAATTTATTTTATTTTGTATAGATGTAGTTTTTAACTGAATAAGTTATTATTTAATGTGAACTTCGATTTGATTAATTGTCGGAATAGCTTGGGTTCGATGGACGATTTATACTCAATTGACAAAGAACAATGTGTCGTCTCACGGATGTCTTCAATTAACTCATCAAAATCTTTTTAGAGGAGAAACAATTTCCATGTACACATTATTCTTGAACCTTACGGAAGGTTGAGGTGTTTAATAACATCCAAAATCGCCAGAGAAATAATCCTAGCATTTATTTATAGTTTATTGTCATAATTCATCGTTAATCTTGGGAATTGAGTTGGGCATGTAGAATACTCGGTCGCTGTTGCTTTCGACGTAGGCAGCCTTCTTGCTCGCGTCTCTGCCTGGATCGGGATCCACCAACGATATGCTCGATCTCACTTTCCTAGAAAATCAATTTTATGATTCGAGATCAAGCATTTCGTATTATGTAGTGTGAAAAATTTCTTGCCTCTCTTCAGGTTCTCGTAGTTCAGCAGACACAGTTATATCCCTGGGCTTGGAGAAATCACATTCTAGAATAAACGCTGCATCACCTGGAGTAATTAGTTCGTCGTCATGCTGCATGACCAGAATATTTTTGTACTTGTTGTTTTCCTGCAATAACAGGATTATTTCGAATTACTTTCAGGTGGTCTAATTAAAATTTCACAGCAGTGTTACCTGTATTATCTATATATACGTACATTCTCCGTGTAACATTGATCGAAGGGAATATTTATGGTGTAATTACCACCACGGATCGGATCCAGGAAGCATGGTGGTTGTCTAGAATAGAAGCTACCTTGAGTGTATATTACTCCCGAAAAGTCTTCAGCTGTTTTAAGATTCACTACCATCTTCTCAACACCGCATCGCAGGTTCACCTGATCGAACCCACCTGTGGATGCTCCTATTTGCATATCCCTTGACAAATCCTGTTGCCATATTTCCTCTAGAACGATGTATACCAATTTTGTTTATCAATTACATATTGCCAACATGTCGTTAAGATAATGTATATTCAGATGAGTTTTGTTGTGGGTCACGATCTTTGATAAAGTTGTTAGGCGATTCAGAATGTTGTTAGGTGATCATTGTAAACATTGTGTTTTCCCAAACGAAGTTGTTTTCATCTTGCGGGATTATTAATTAATGTTGTTCAACATTAATCTAATTTTAGATTATAATTACGGAAAATCTAAGAAAGGCAATTTTTGTATTTTTGAAGAGTCGATATATTATGTGAACTGATATGTTATGGTTTGTTAGGACACAAAATTAATTTCTAAACATTGCATTTTTATTTACCAGCTACATATTTCTGTAACATCAGTGCTAAAATGATCAGGATGAACGGTAGATGCGGCGACATCACGTAAAATGTGTGCAGGCGAACGACCGTGAACTGACAGCGACTAGAAGTGACATTGAGAGTCTTCCCCCTATTATCTTTTTCACTTTGAGTCCTACCTTTATTCCGAATTCTTTGTCGTGCACTTAATTTACATTGCACAACGCTAACCGATCGTAATATCTAAAAAAAATATAGAAATAGTGTTAGGAAAAATTATTACTTCTATGTATTCTTTATTTTATAAACTGTTCACGTACATAATTAGTATTCTATAGAAATACCGAATAAATTAGTTAACGGAATCCAAACTGGTTCTATAGGTATATGTACCATCGGGATGAGGTCACTGACCCCGGACTCTCAAAAGAGCTTCAATCACGTTGAAAATCCTGTTTGCTTCTTTCAGACTCAAGCAAGTTATGTAATTCGTGTCACCAAAATTTTTAAAACATATTGTACTTGTTATTGCACAGAATTTGTTCATGATTTCTTTCTTCTATAAACTTATCTGTTGTGCATCGCTGTCCTCGTTGTAGTATCATCCGTCTGATGGCGTGGACGTGTTCAAAATAGCATTCTATTTGGCCTAAGTAATTTTTTCTATTTGGGAATCGTTGAGAATTTTTGATTCACTATGAATCCTTCTTGGAAGATTTATGTTGCAGACTATGACTGCTATTGTTTTGAAAAATGATTTTGTTGGAACACAGGGTGTTCTGATCTTTTGGTACGCCACTGGCTCCAGCAGCTCATGGAACGATTCCTGTTTGGCCGGTCTGCACATATGTAATTCAGTAACGGGACTTACTCCTGCACGCTTTTCTCACTCTCTAAGCTGGCGGGCACATCCCCACCATTTTATTGCGCATCCAATCCGCAATGGATCCTGTCTCAGCAGTGTATCATCTGCCAATCAAAGCAAAGAAAATTTCTATATTGACCCTCGTTAATGGATTAAGTTGCGGCCTGGAGATGTGCAGAAGTTGGTCTCATTAGATAGTAGATAAACTTATCAATTGTGTCTGAACTGGACTGATCTCATCCGACATTTTCACCCATTGTAAGTGCCGGTGCCAGGGTCCAACTAGAACGAAATTATGGCAACTCGTGTCGGTCAAATCCTTTTTGCCAGAACTCTGCAAGCTGGCAGAAATCCGCAACAATTTGCTACCAATATTAGATACTATTGCTGTGAGTATCGTTGATGACATGGTTATTGTACAATAGATAACAGTTGAAAGCTGTTTCAAGCAGGGTAGATCATTGATCGATCAATGATCGACTTTTCGGCTATTACTCTAGCGTATTTTTTAAATTATTAAAAATACAATGCTTTGTGTGTGCTATATGTAGCATTTCTTTAAAAGTAAAACTTCATATACAGATAAATTAACAGGTGTTCTATAGTTGGTTGTTCATTATTGTATTAATATATTTATTATTGGTTTATTTGCAAGAATTTCTAGTTTTATTTTACACTTGCTTTTATTATATTTAAGTTCAGCATATCGCAGCATTAAATATTCACAACTATCAATTTTTGTATACATTATGTAATTGCTGTGCAAAGTACAAAAATAATTCAGATAAGAAAATGGTCCCCAGATAAGAAGATATTAGAGCCATGTGAAAAAAATATGTGGAAAATTCTTTTCTTTTAGGTCATGTTAAAAGTTATGATATGATCAAGGTAGAGACAACAGGAGAGAAAAAGAATATTGGTTTAATCACCTTAAACAGACCAAAAGCACTGAATGCCCTATGCGATGGCTTGATGTCTGAAGTCAACCATGCTGTTTCTAAGTTTGACAAAGATGATAGTATTGGTGCCATTGTTATTACTGGCAATGAAAAAGCCTTTGCTGCAGGTAAGTTTTATTGAATTTGTTGAAAGAAGTTGTTCTTTAAATTATACTTGACTTAATTGAATCATACAGGTGCTGATATTAAGGAGATGCAGAACAATACTTACTCTCAAACAGTTAGGGGTAATTTTCTGACCAGCTGGGATGCAGTTAGCAAGACTTCGAAGCCTGTGATTGCTGCTGTTAATGGCTATGCTGTATGATCCTATAATATACATTACTTTGTTAATGAGGAACAATAAACTTATAAAACAACATTTCAGCTAGGTGGTGGTTGTGAACTGGCTATGATGTGTGACATTATTTATGCTGGTGACAAAGCCAAATTTGGACAACCAGAAATTGCTATTGGCACAATTCCTGGTGCTGGTGGCACTCAAAGATTGACCAGAGCCATTGGCAAGAGCAAAGCAATGGAAATGGTGCTCACTGGCAACTTTATCACTGCAGAGGAGGCAGAAAAGAGTGGTTCGTTTCTATCAATAATAAAATCAGGTCAATATACAAATTTATATTAACACTAATTAATTATCTCATTGCAGGACTCGTCAGCAAAGTTGTTCCAGCTGACAAATTATTAGCAGAGACGGTAAAATTAGGAGAAAAAATTGCCTCTCATTCTCAATTGATTGTTGCCATGGCTAAAGAATCTGTTAATACAGGTAATTATTATTTTAACAATAATTCAACTTTTTAAAGCTCTTTTTCCATTGATTTTTCTAATTGGACTATTTTTCCAGCTTACGAAACAACCTTGCAAGAAGGTCTCCACTTCGAAAAACGTATGTTCCATGGTACTTTTGCAACAGTAAGTATTTTGTTATGACCTATTCTATCCTAAAGTTCGTATATTTGTTAACTAACACTGGAAAATTTTTCAGGCTGACAGGAAAGAGGGCATGACAGCGTTCATTGAGAAGAGAACACCCAATTTCAAGAATGAATAAATTGTTATCTTTGATTTGAGTATAATCCTATTTTTTTACAGATTTTTGTACTTTCGGATATATCTAAGATGTACATTCGTTATTTTATATAAATCTATACAAAGTTAAAATGAATCGAATATTTCCATCGAAAAAACCAGACCAATTTCGAGATGAACTTTTATTTAACTATCTTTACATTGATGTGGTTTACGTATGATACATTTACAGTTAGCATTGCAGTTGATACATCAGGTGAATGATTATTGTTAACAGTTAGTTACGGTGATCCTGTTAAAGCGTCCTGAAGTGAACAGTAGGAACAATGGAATTTCATTTGACAACATGTACAATAAATATCAACCTTTACAACGCACGATATCGTTGAGAACTTTCGTGTCTAGTCGTTACAACTCGGGAGCATGAAAATGCTGTTCTGATCGAGACCAACCGAGAACATAATTGCACTTCGTCGAAAATAAATAATTCGAAACTCTGTATAATAGAAATTATGGAAAATCGAATTTCACGGGTTGTTCGGGCAGTATCAAATTTGCTTGTTCTTCGGTCGTTTTGTAAAATTTGCTGACTAGCTAATACTAACAATGTACAGGTATGACGAAAGAGTTGTGTGCACATTCAACGTTTCATAGAATTACTTCACCTGGATTTCCTCGTCCTTAAAATTACGGAAAAAAAATGAAGACTCGAACTAACTATACTTAGAGACTAAATATATTGTATACTAGATGTTCGCTGCATCTCTTAGGAGAACGTACTAGTCCGGACATTTTTTTATTCACGAATCTACGAAACCAATACCGTCAGATATCGGTGTATTCTTAGATCCGCGTTTTACCGGAGTCCTCGAATTTTCAGGCAAACGAAAAATTAATACTTCCCAGACCAGGACGCTCCCCTAATTCTAGATTAAGTACACACGACCAGTGGTTTCCAGTGGAGCTTCCGTTATCTAATTATTTACAAAAACCTGTCGAAAAAACACGTATCAATAGGATACATAAAAACGCGTTGTTTTCAAAACGCCGTCCGAAAGAATTCTAAAAATATGATATGCTTCTGTGACTTTTGATTATTGATCTTTTCGTTTGTCGCGCGGTGTCCGATCGAAGCGTTTGGTCCTTGCTCGTCGATACACTAAAATCGGAAGCTCCACGGGGCCAACGAAAGAGTTTTACGGGAGGTGCGCTGTTTTTTATTTTCACACGGTACAACTCGGTTGTTTCCTCTTCTCCATCGTCTTCTTCATTTATGTATATCACAGTTGCAAGCTCTGCTCGAATAACGAAGTTGGTACAGTTACGGAAACGGGAATAAGAAAGTGTCGGTACGCGTCGGGACAATCGTTTTCCTCCCGGGGACGATTTACCGCTTGTTGCGGTTCTTCATGGTGAAACGTCTCCAGAAATTGCCGCTCTTCTTCGACGGCGTTGCCACCGGTGTGTCGTAGGGATAGCTCGACTCTTCGTCGGTGTCCTGGGCGCTGGGTGTCTCTCTCGTCGGGGAACCACCGTGGCCCGAGTCTCTGTCACCGTCTGCCACGTTCTTTTCCAAACCTGAAATCATCATCTTGCGTAACATGGTTGCAGGTGGGACCTAAATAATTTTTTGGGACTTCTACTAGCTTAGTTCCTAACCCACGCCCTCAAGCCACCTGCAATCATTATTTAATGTCACATTTTATTGACATCAATTTTTTCCGTAAGTCCGTTAATATTTTTTGCGGGCCTTACACACTACCCCTCATCCATGATACATCTTCTACAGAACTGAAGACTAAGTGTCGTGATCATTTTTCTTGGCAGTTTAAACAATTTGCTAAGCATTGCAATTTTATCATAAGTCCCAATTATGTCTCCCACCGTAGACAAGGCCTCATTTTATGCTTCCATATAAACTTGGGCAAAAAATAATCTAATTAGTGTGTAGCGATTATAACTAGTTAGTTATATATAATAATTTATAAATTAGTTGTAATTACTTTTTTATTGAATATTATAAATCAGTTTTAATTACTTTAGTTAGTATTAGTATTTTAAATTAGTTGTAATAACGAACGAGTTATAAATTAGTTATGACTAACGGGTTATATTCGTTAATCATTAATCGGATTACTGTTTTCTCGACTCCGCTTCCGTAGCTCTCTACCCTCCATAAACACTACCCCATTTTTCCATTGACCTCCTTTCTCGATTCTAATTAATCCTGCCATCCAAAAAATAATGTACGATGGCGTCTCGTTAGCGTCTCACCACTAATTAACCACTAATTATTTATCTGCCCACCTCCGGCTCTCAGCATGTCCAGGAAAGTGTTCTCGGCGTTGCCACGCGTGCGTCCCTGCTTCTGCGAGGGTGTACCGAAGCTAAGGCTCTGAATATTGATTTCGGCCTTGAGCTGTTCCGGCGGTATGTCGTCCACGCGGAACTCGTTCGGGTCCTCGACGAACGCCTGCTGCAGGTCCCGCATGATCTTCTTGCGGATCGTCTTCTTCATGGACAGGTGTCTCTCCAGGTGTTTCACGTCGCTCTCCGTCAAGGTTTTGCTGTTGTCGCGGCGGCGTGACTTCTTCTTCTTGCTGTTTTTAGGACTCTCCTCCTCGCCGGACGTCGAGCCGACGGACACGGCGCTATCGTGGCCGGCGGCCTTCTCCTCGGCCTGCAGTCTGGTGTTTTCCCACTTGCTGCCGAACCCGAATATGTCCCTCAGGTGAGGGATGTTGCGGTCGGCTGTCTGCTGCCTCGCCATTTTGATGGGCGGTGCTCGGTGATCGCAGAGTCCCTGACCTGGAACCAAAAATTCGATAAATATTTTTGTGACACCCTTGCTGGAGAATATTGAGCCTGAAAAGTAGTACGATTTGTCTATTAGGATATTTTAATCTCAGAAATAAAGACGTTCTTTTGTTTATTTCGACTTCGATTGGGCCACGTTATTCAATGCAGAAATGTTTGTAGAATTATATGTTGGTTTTATGATTGAATGTATGTATTTAGGTATCATCGCGTTGCCAGGGTTCTCGAGATCAAAGACAGGATAACTCCTGGCAGTGAACGAAAAAACAAACGTGTTCACCGGTCCCGAGTGTCGTCGACTGGTTACGACATTACGGTCTAACGGTTTCATCGTCGATGGTGAATGTTTTACTTTTTCTCTTCTTTATTGCTTTATAGGATCCGGTCGGGCCACTCGATTTCTTCTCGGCTGATTAAAAGGCCCGCTGGAAAAAGAAATGTGCGTGGTGAATGCATTACGCGGTGATTTGTGTTTACAAGCAGGGATGCAGCTGGGCCTTTTGGGCCCGACGCACCTTTTCCCGCGCCTTCTCTGGCCTACATATTTTTATATATTTTTCATTCAGACATTTTTCTTAAGCTCGATGGTCCGAAATTGGTCCCAAAATTCATCCGTAGGGACCGAACTTTAGCAACTTTTTGTGCATAATACACTTTTCTGCATTTCTAATTCTATCAAATAGTAACAGGACCCAATTTTTCTCGTAAACCATGAGAACTCATCGAATCTCTCGAAGTTTCTTCGTAAGGCCCAAAATCTTACCGTCTCTGCAAGATCACCTCGTAATCTCATACATACGGTTATAATTTCTAGAATTATTTAGGGCCCTATTGACTATTGTAGATGGCGGCCCTGTTTACAGTAACGGTAACGTGTCTAAGCATCGCGGAGGTGGCCAGCGTAGCCGTGCAATTTAACGGCGCCTGGGAAACCGCACACGCACACCACCTAATTATTAGGTGCAACAGGTTACCCGTTTCAACGATATGCACTTTTATTTTTTTTCCTAGCCGCTTGTCGGCAATTTACTCGCGTGTTCTGCCGATGGTTTTAGATAATCCATTTAAGCTCCTCGCTGGCTGTTTGAATAGATAAATCGGCGCGCTAATAAATTGACTTCTTATATAGGGTAGTGCGAAATTATTTACGGTGATGGATAGCCGCGGGTTGCAGCCAACAAGGATAATTAATAAGCCGCCACGATTTCCATGAAATCATTCTTCCTCTGTACTAATTTAAATACGCGGAAGTCGAACAGAACTTTATTGTTGGCATCAATTATTTTAATACTTCGCCGTAGGTGCGCGGCTTGCGTTAATGGTGCAATAAGTTATTCCATCGGATGATGAACACACTACTTTGCTAATTTTATTTTTATCCATTTGGTCGGTACTTATTATCCTATATTGTTACTTCTGACAATGCAAAGTAAAAAGTTAAAGGCACGAATAAACGACCAGAAAAATGGTGTCACCACCGACGAGACTCGATAGACATTTTTTGTATTTTTCAGTGTGTCTTCCGGTCCACAAGATGCTCAAAGTGGCAAATTTCCGACGATGAACAGACTGGATGTCTTTGGTAATTTTATTTTTATCCATCGGGTCAGTACTTTTTTATTTCATACACTATGCTATATAAAAAAAAGAAAAAATGAAAGGGACGGATGAATGGCCGGAGAAATGGTGTCACTATCGACGAGAATCGAAACTAATAAATTTTCTGTATTTTTCAGCTTGTCTTCTGAACGACAGGATGCACAGAATGGCAAAGGCAGTTAGTCTCCGGAGTGCAGCGCGCCTACGCTTGCATATTAAAATGCACCGGTGCACTCGGTGCACTGTTCCTCGTGGGCCGCCGATGGAAAAAGAACTTCCAGAGTATAAATAAAGCGGTTTCTCACGACGCAGATGGAAAGTGCGCCGAGGGAAACGTGGGCGAGATTTCGCGTTATCGATCGACGGATCATGCTCCGAGGCCCACGCTGTATCGCGTAACTGCCGCTGCTTTTATCGGCGTACAATAACCCGCTGCCATTTTTATTAATGCTCCAATAACGACCGGGCCGACTCAGTCTAGTTCTTCCTCGGGCTCTCGTTTGCCTCGACAGATCCATAATCTACTCTGACCCTTTTTACTTCGAACCACTGGCCGCCGAATTTGTTGGTCCCTACCATAATTCGTTCGAAATATTTAGTTGTTATTGGAGTGTCAATTTATGTACACGTATTATATCGTTTCTGACATGTAATACGTGATACATATATTATGTGATATGTAATGTAAAGGAATGAAACAGATTGACGAATAATATCGGATGGAACATTGTGTGGTAAAATTACTTGTTGATTTATTTGTATAAATTAATTCGATATACTAATATGTATCTAAATATACTAAATAATATTATATACATATAATATTCTAATATATAATATACTAATATGTATGTATGTTATATATAATATATTTTGTAATTTCATATATATACATTGCATATTATGTCATATTATGTCGTAGTGTAGTATATGAAATTAAATTGTACAATTAAATCAACGGTTAATTTTGTCAAAGTGTTCCATGCAATATTATATTTGATTGTATTGTGTAGTTCTTTTCGTAAAATTTACTAAATCGCTCCAGTGTTACGTTTTTGACTAGAATCGAACGAGAATGTACCCAACGATTTAGGAATCCGTTTAATTAAGTTTTTTTTTAAACGAGGACGAATTTAAATGAAATGCTTTGTGTCAGGGGCGAAGAAAATAGAAAGGCAGCCGAGAGTCGAATTTATGTGGACATTAGCACGGTATAAATGGTGTAGTTCTCAAAGTGGACCAGCGATTGGATCCATCACGCGAGTCCATCGACTCTCCATTACCGGGTTGCTCGGACAATAGCGAGCGCGACAACACGGCCGAGCTTGCCCGGAGTAGACTTTCATGGGCCTATTGAGGCATCGAGGACTTCGGTATCCGATCGAAAGTACACAGAGACCGAGTACCGAGGCCGGCGTACCGAATCGATAAAGTGATTTCCATAGCTTTTGCAACGAACGAGCGAACAGTGTATAACGCCGGTGCATAGCTCTCGAGGCCGGTGGCGAGTCGGTTGCCAGGCAGCCAGTTTCGCCCAGGTAAAACCGCTCCTCTCTCGTTTTTTCTCTCTCTCTTTCTCTCTCTCTCTCTCTCTTCTCTCTTTCCTCGTTCCTCTCGCGGCGTATCGCGTCCTGGTGTGCCGATACAAACGCTATATTATGCTTCTATTGACGTTTGATATCGCGGCGCACCGGTGCGCAAACTCTTTTCGCTGAGGCTGGGGAACCAGTTCCCATACTGACACAGAAAGCTCTGCTCAAACGAGACCGGGCAATTACTTATTCGCGGAGTCCCTTCTCGGTTCGGCGATAACTTTTGTCGACAGTTCACTTAGCATTGTCTCGAATAATTTATGCACGGTGGCACTGGAAAGTGTGACTTCTATTAATTTTCGCTTTTCGAGAATTCTCGATATTTAAACTGGCACAACTTGTCGAAAAAACGATTGTAGATCAACGATTGTTTTAAAGGCTGAAGCTTCCACTTTCGCGTGCCTTAATTCATTTTTTTCTAAAATAACTTTACTGTTTTTACGACGGAGAGAGTGGATGTTTACGTTTTTTGGGATTTCGATGAATTCGAATGTATACACAAAGATTAAAATATTTTTTTCTGCAAGGAACAGTAGATGGATTTGGAGATTAAAGTCTTAGCTTCCTAAAGAGATTAAAAAATGTGATCTACGATCGTTTGGTGCCATTTGACTGTACTTTGAGTAGACAGTATGCTACCAGCGTCAGACATGCTACATTTTTAATTGAAAAAAGGTTGATATTCTAATTGCTGTTTTTAAAGCGTATAACATCTACTTTATGTTGTTGTATGTTGTTTTCCCCCAAAAAATTTTTAAACCGACAATAGGATATCAAATAGGATATCGAAAATGATCACTATATTGATCGTTTTTGAAATTCGAAAATGTTCACCGTGTTTGAAACATTTTTTTCGCGAATAAAACCTGTGCAGAATTATGTGGACTGTAGTTTTATCTTTACAACGAGTTCAGAAATTTTGATTCACGAGTAATTATTGCCATTTTATCGCAATTCGAGTGAAGGCTATTATGTCAGATTCGCTCACGCTAATTATAGCACTAACAGATAAGTCAGATTATCGTGAATACTTACAATGTTAAGCAAAACCGTGTCCCGATTCATGCACGAATAGAAATGCGAGTGATCGCAGATTTAGAAGATCGTCGTTCGCAGAACGAATGATATTTATCAAATCACATAAATTCAGTCTTAGCTTATATTTTTCCAGGAAAAGGCATACACGTATATTATAACGAAGTTTCCTTTTGCGCGGTTCATAGAAATCGAGGAAAAAGTGTTTTATAATCCGTTGTAATGTTATACGTTGAGCAACGATTACGAAACTGCGAGTACGATGAAAATTTCTCTTTCCGTAATACGATATAGTTTTCCTTAAATTGTGTAGCCTGTGCCACGATTACCGTGCTCCAAAATTAACGCGAATTCCGGTTCAATGGCGCTGCTATGACGCGATTAATAACCATGATCATAAATTATTGAGAGGCGAGATACGCTTCGCTGACTTAACAGACGAGCCTGGTCACTGTAATTATCATAGTGGAAATCATTATCGCATCCGTGTGTAGCATTTTTGACACTCGATTCTTGCGATCTATCATTTATTGAAATACTGAAGAAGAACCATTTTCAGACTAATTAATATTTTATTTGATGTCCGCGGTGCTTTGAACGTTGCAAAATTACTATAATTCCGACACCAATTAATATTTTATTTAGAACTCGCAGTACGCCTTGAAAATTAAACGATAAAAATAGTTTTCATCGCGTGGAATGTTCGATTTAGAACTTTCAATATCCTAGAAAAATTTGTACTCCGAGTAATATTTGATTGGGAACCCAGAATTCAATTAAATCTGTAGCTAAGCTACTGTAATGAACATCCTCTTTAATGTAGTGTATATTTTTTCTGATACAAATTACGAGTCAGCTTTTTACGCGGACCCGATGATAATACTAATTAAAACCGTCGCCCAGCAACTTTGATAAATAAGATCTGTTGTCTAATGACAGGAATCTGATGAAAAGAGTCTGGTCACCGGGTTCTGGTAATTGCGATTAATCAGTGCAATTACGCCGCGGAGATAATCACCAATTTGGGTGTGATTGCTTGCTAATGATTCAGGCAGTGGCACTCCTTCCTCCATATTTCCAGCATTCTCGTCCGCAATCATCGCGATCGGCGATCGTTTCGACGATTCCACCTTTCTTCGTTTAAAACGTTGCTTCATCATGCGCTGTATATTTTCGAGGCCGTCCGCTACTCGGCACCTTTTTCTTTTATTTCTCATTCACAATATTGTCCGACGATCTTCTCTAGACGCTCATACTATCCCCGCGGCTATCGATAAGCAACGATGTGTGGTCCCGGATGAAACGAAACTCGCCGGTGCTCATTTTATCTAATTGATTGTTTTATTGTATGCATCCGTTAATTAAAAATACCGGGGGAAGTGTAATCCGCCAAGGATGTTGCCTCAACGAGTCCTTGTTTCATCCTCTTATCTCTCGATCACTGAAACCACTCGCTTAGGGCAATTATTTAAACGAGTCACAACGCGTCCTTGCAAAATAAATCCTCGCAGCAGGAAATTAAACTTTATCCGCATTAATGTTCATTATAGAAAAATGATTTCAATTGAAATTAATACGGTAGTTGCATCTCAGTTAATTCTAATCCGAGTACTCGATTAATAGAAGCTGTGCAATTGAATTTATGATAAAAATGAGAGGGAATGATTTAATGGAATTGATTTAATGGAGTTAAAATAATTGAATAGTATCGATGCGTTATTGTAAAATTGGATTTACTGAAGATAAAATTAAACATATACTTGTCAACTGTCTCTCGCAGTCCAGTAATTACCATCGTCACGTTGTTACAGTCCATGAGGAATCGTTGAGCGATCGATTAAAATGATGTATTTAATTATATTCATGTTATCGAAGCGACTGAAAATTTTTCCTCGTGTTGCAGAAAGATAAATGGAGTCTGGACACTTTTTTAGATCGGTGCAACGGCCGGTTATCAACGAAATAACACCGCAATGTACCGTAAGCCGACAGAGGATCCTTCACGCATGGTGAATCGAAGTGAACAGGACACGGTGAACAGGCACGATCGATTCGTGGCTCGTTACGGAGCGGCGCGGCGCGGCGTCTGGTCGAAAGTTCGAGCGAGCTACGTGCATTAATATTTCCGTTATTGCGCGCACGACCACCGAGGTTACACCTTTCACACATAAGGATCATAATAGCGATCCACCGACACACGTTCTCCCGATGATCTATCGCTTTCCTCGCTCGGCCTATCGACGTCGATGATGATTTAATTAACTCGCCCGACGCCGTGATTCAGTTACTGCATACATCGTAATTTATTTAGTCTACTTCGCCGATTATGCGAAACGCGTGAGATTGGTTGTTTCTTTTCGTTACCTTTTATGTAAATTACTCCACTGAACCAATTTCAACAAATTAATATCGCCGTTGACACATTTCAGAAAAATGCCGATCATATCAATTTTAGATATAAATTCTCGGGTGTTGAAACTGTTTTGATTATGTTTCAAGTAATTTTCGGCGCATTGTTTTAGAAAAGTGAATGTTCTGAAATGAATTCTTTTTTGTAATATCTTGTACCGAGCAGCTCTGTACAATAATTTACTGGCTCTCGATATATTTCAAAAAATATTTTGCCGTTTTGACGATGTTTCAAATAATAGTTCGGAGAACAAAGCTGCCAGGATAAAATCGTTATAATACCTTGATTGTCTTCGCAGAGAGGTACTGACCAGCGGCTCCGAACAAAGTCCTTTCTAAAACAAAGCTTCCTGCAGCCGTCCTAATCGACCAGCGCTATACCAGCAACATTTTATCTATGGTCATTATCCTCCATCCTGGAGTTGTAGTCGGTGTACGAAAATTCAAGTAACAATTAATAAGATTGCCGAGATTGCAGATATAATCAAGCAATTAGCCTCAATTAAGCCACTGAAAGAGTCTTGTGTAATTTGTAATTGAGAGAGCCAGCCTGTAGATCCCGCTAGATATCCCGAGAGTCCGATGCTCCGGTCGATCGCGTCTCACAAACAGAAATTTTGCAACAAGAAAGTTTCGGATCACTGTTCTAGATCCTCTCGGGATACCCGGTCGCACGGTAGAGATCCATCGATCACAGTCGATCCTTAATCCGGCACGTGTGTTCACTGCACCAAAGTTTGTACATTTTCGCGCGGCTTCTGTCGTTTTCGAAACTGGACTTTATGGATCGAGGGATCATCAATGCCTGTGGATCGAAACCGCTCGAGACCGTGGTCGCGGCGCGACTAAACGCCGATTCAGGACTTTCACTTCGTGATACGCTGCCCTCCGTCCCTTCTCGATCAGATTATCCGCAGCACGCCCACGCTCTCCACTCTGAATCATGATCGAATTGTTCTTACGCGAATAATACCGTTCGCCGTGCCGGAGCGAGCTACGACCGTAGGAGAGGCTGGCTGTTCCTATTTCTCAAATGACAGACGCTGGGACTCCTCTAGAATCGCTTCTCGAGGCGCTGTTGCTGACCTAACGACGCCGAATGGCGTGCACCACAATTCCTCAACCGGTAGATCCTGGATCTCTCTGCAAACATTATCCCAGGGGCTGTTTAGATTTATTTATCATTTTCTCTACGTGCAAAGAGCCATCTAATTTGATCGCTGATCAGTCTCTGATCCTTTGGAACGAAGAAATGAAATGTTTAATCTTAAAATTAATACTAAACCATGGTATCATCTTTTTAGCGACAGCCTCTGTCACCTAAAATCGTATAAAATAATTTGTATAAGTGTCCGTACAATTTTTCCTCATGATTTTAATGACCACGCCTAGCTGTCTAGACTTTCGACAATTTCTTTTAATTTGTCTAAATATTAATTTATCGGTCTCTCTCACTCTCTACGAATCAAAATGTTTAATCAAATTAAATTAAATTAATTGTCCAAATCAAATTAATCAAAATTAATACTATCCCTTTGCACTAATTCTTAGGCGTCGTTAGAAATTGTTAGATGATTTTTCAAAAGAATTCTTACATTTTTAATATAATAAATTGTTGAATTGTAAGTATTGTATGAACAAATAGTCTTAATATCTGAGTTAATATAAATATAATTACTAGATTGAAATGAATTTCTTGGTTTTCGAATTGAAGCGATGTTAAATCATGTTACTGTTTTCGAATGCTAATTCTCTGGAACCCGACGTTTTCGTGAGCTTCGTAAAAATGCCCGCAGGATTTTTCCCCTGTAATTTCGACGATCGCACTGTACGTGAATCGTTTCCATCAAAGATTCATTCTCGAAGGCAGAGCAGAGGCTCGATGGTGTAATCACCTTTGACGAGCAGAGCCGCGGATCCTCCTCTTCGGTCTATCGCGGGTGAAGGCGAGGGGTGGGGGATAGGTAGACGGGCTCACCTTTCACCCTGGAGTAACTGTACAACGAGGAAAGTCAGGGAATGGATTATAGCGACGGAGGTGAACAGCTGTGACTCGATATAACCTGCCTCGATTACGTTTCTGATGCCAACTCGCCTTCGAGTATTAATTTCCATTTGCCTGAGCGCCGTTTAGGCCTCGGACAGGCCTGACCTGCTGCCGTCACCATCGGAATCGTGCTAACATTTCGTTCTCGATGCTAGCTTACGCTGCTTCTAATGTTCGTCGATCGTTTTATGAAGATCTAGATGAGGAATGATTTTAATTCCAACGAGAATTACCTGGTTGAACATAAATCATTCGTAGAATCAGAAGAGGATCATTGTTAAGAATAAATTATTGAACTCGAGGTTGTAGCGATTGAGGCAGACAATTATTAATTTATTCCTGTTCATTGTAATTGAAGTACACAATTTTTATTTTATTCCTGCTTATTGCAATCGACGGAGACTTTTTTTATTTTACTCCTGTTTATTGGGATTATTGCAGACAATTTTTATTCAACGCCTGTTTACATTGCATCTCAGGCAAACAATTTTTATTTAATTAAAAATGGCGAAAGAATTCTTCCGAGTGAATGGGACAATTCTGTGAGCGAGGGAATAATTGAGCAATGAAACAAAAGAGATAATAGGAGGATAATTTGAATGAATGGAGATGAATGGGTATAGAATATGGAGATGGTTGTATTGAATAATTTGTCGATCGAATTAGTATTTGGAACGAGTGTCGACGTCGGACAAGGATACCTTGACCGACGGGCATTCCAAAGTGAATGAACTCCGCGAGGTTGTTATCAAAGTTCGTCGAACGGTGAACGGCACCGGCGAACGAAAAGGAGTCGTCTTGCGTAATCGCTTTCGTTTGTTTTTCAAATATGCACGGTCCGGTCCCGATTCACCGCGGAAGAGCACCACAGGCTCGAATGCGATTCCCGTGGCTGATAATCGGCCTGTAGAAACCGCCACTCGTAGAAAGGAAAATGATTTGTTGAACCGTTTCCATGACTCCACAGTCTGAGCACACCTACTTGACTTTCACGGAACTCTCAGGGAAACGAAAACGAAACCAATTAAATTTTTACCTCGCGATTTGTAACTAAATATTTATCGCTGGTGCGATGTAGCTAAATTTTTTCCGATTTTATGTATTTATGGTAAAAATTAATAAGTTAAATATTATACTGTATGGTGATTAGAAGAATTTTCATGGATATTGGTACATCGTTCTCAATTTAGTACAGTTATTAAAACACGACTGACATTTTCAACTTACTTCTGAACTGTTACATTATTTTCAATGTGCTGTAATTATTTAATAAAGAACATCTTCATCTGGCTTCCAACTTGTTACGTTATTTTCAATTTAGTATAATTATTAAACGTGATGTTTTCATCTAATTTCTAAATTGTTGGATTATTTTCAATATGCTGGAATTATTGAAAGAAGATAGATATTTTTATTTGACTTTTAAATATAACTTATTTAGCTAAGAAATAAGTTAGTCCATTTTTATTGTGCATAAAGGTCCACAGTTTAGACAACACTTAACATTTCGCATTTTTATAAATAATTTGCTAATCTTTTAAATCTAAATCTTTAAATTAATACACAAGAATGGAATCTTCAATAGGCGTCGGGAATCGACTTCTAAAAGTTCTCTGGATGCCCAAAAAAGGTAAATGCTGCCTTTACACGAGTGCTTCATACAAGACAAAGTAGTAATGGGACGTAAAGAGACTATGTCAGAACCTTGCAGTAGTCCTCATGTCCGTAAAAAGAACACGTTTCGTGATCGGCCAGGAATAAGGCCAAGGAAAATGCGAGTCTCTAAAGTGACACCTAGAGAATCTCGAGACGATACGGCGGAAGGAGGATCGTGCACTGGAATCGTATCTAATCCCCAATTATCATTCCCGGTGCGTATCCCTGTTTATTATTTTCTGATGCCCTCGAGACTCGAGCCTCGCGACGAAAGTGACATCATATTCTCTTCACGAACCAGTTCTCATTGACTTTAATACCGGTTCTCTTCGGCGAAGACTTCGCGATGGAGCTGGGTACCATTCGTCAGGTGAGGTCGTGACCTTACCGCGGGTTCAGAGACACGTGGCCAACCAGCCTAATTCGCCTGAACCTACCCAAGGATTATTCAAACGACATGAGTCACGTTGAAGTTACCATTCACTTCGCTTGGCTAGCAAAATATTTGCAAGAGAATTTTGCAGATGATTGTACTACGCTGTCATCATTTTTTATGGGGTCTAAATGACGCTGACTATGCACCAGAGCTGGGCAAAATTTCATTCGGATAACGGATCAGGCGAATATGATTTTATTCGAACAAGAATTATGTGAATAATTTATTCGATAACAAATTATTTGAATAAATAGATGGAATAATGAATTTTGCGAATAAATAGATATAAAATAAAGAATTATTCGAATAAAATGACAAGTCAAGAATAGAATATTCGACAAAAAATCAATTCAAATTAACATTGTACACATGATAGTCACGTATGAATTTTTAAATAAAAATACGAATGAATAACTTTTAAATAAAAATTAGAACTTTTTGGTCCACCCAGTATATCATCGGGGAGCGCAGGGGACAATTGACTACATTCGTATTCGGCGTTGACTGCACAGAGTTTATTGTATCTGATTATAATGTAATTACAGATACTACTATAATTCCGACGCGAACGATCGCCGTGAATCACGATCAGAGGATCTCCTAAACACACTGGCATTCGCAGCATTGTTCTCTCCTCAAATCGGGGACGCATTGAATCCTATGGCGTTAGAAAATAGCGTATATAAGTCTCGAGTTTCTCCTGGCGTCTTGTTCGCGGCTTTCGTGTCTCATAAATAATCTACTTTTACTGTAGCTGTAATTGTTATAGGTCTACTTCCAGCGGCCGGAGTTCACTGTTACCAATTATTCCCAGCGGGGGAATATTCATACGCGTCGAAATTTACACAATGAGCGCGAGAAAGTGGTGATGACAGTGGCTCGCGTGTTTCCTTGTAAAATCGAACGCGCCAAGGCTCGTCTGGTTCGGTTCCAGCCGCAAACTGCTTTCGATTTTGCAACGCGAGTGTTTCACAAAGCTCGTTAATCCGAGTTTTCTGATATTCCATATAGATTAACGGTATATCTGTAGCGTGGAAAGTTCGAAAACAAGAAAAACAAAATGCTTCGCACCTTGCCGTGTACTCGTGATTCACGATTTATCTTCGTTGCGATCGTTTCGCGGTGCTGTTACGTCAAGGGGCAAATTTCATTGGCCGATGGAAGAGGCGCAATTTTTCAATCTTTTTTTTTCCGACAATGCTTGGGCAAGATCGCGATCAGCAGGAAGTCGTCGCGAAATACGAAAGGAGGCGACACGGAGGCGCCTCTAGATACCATCTATCGCTTTTCGAGATTCTTAATTAATTCTGAATTGATTTTGCATATTACGGCTCCGTCGTGAACTCGAAACTGAATTGGAACGAACGAACGGAAAGCTCCGATTGGGTCCAACTTCGGGTACACCGTGAATATTGCATAATATACTCAACGAAATGTTTTTGCGTGATCTCTGCACTAACAAGAAGCAAAGTCCCAGTTTACGACCCGGGCAATCTGAATAATCAATTTCCCCGGTGTTGCAAAATATGCACAACTTGTCCGCTGCATTGTGGTGCTAATTATTTCGCAACAGGCCTATCAAACACACAAACCCCGGAAGTCGAACGAAACCAGTCGGTCACGGTGTTTATCGATTACGTTTTTCTATGCGGCCGTGTCAAGAGACGGCTCTCTGTCGGCTCTAATTGCGATCGATGG